CCTCATGGAGTCTGTTTCTGACCACTTGAGCAGACACATGCACATTTGTGGCCTGCTGGAGGTCATTTTGCAGGGCTCTGACAGTGCTCCTCCTGCTCCTCCTTGCACAAAGGCAGAGGTAGCAGTCCTGCTGCTGGGTTGTTGCCCTCCTACGGCCTCCTCCACGTCTCCTGATGTACTGGCCTGTCTCCTGGTAGCGCCTCCATGCTCTGGACACTACGCTGACAGACACAGCAAACGTTCTTGCCACAGCTCGCATTGATGTGCCATCCTGGATGAGCTGCACTACCTGAGCCACTTGTGTGGGTTGTAGACTCCGTCTCATGCTACCACTAGAGTGAAAGCACCGCCAGCATTCAAAAGTGACCAAAACATCAGCCAGGAAGCATAGGAACTGAGAAGTGGTCTGTGGTCACCACTTGCAAAACCAGTCCTTTATTGGGGGTGTCTTGCTAATTGCCTATAATTTCCACCTGTTGTCTATTCCATTTGCACAACAGCATGTGAAATGTATTGTCAATCAGTGTTGCTTCCTAAGTGGACAGTTTGATTTCACAGAAGTGTGATTGACTTGGAGTTACATTGTGTTGTTTAAGTGTTCCCTTTATTTTTTTGAGCAGTGTACTAATATCTTTGTGTAACTGTACCTACAAATGTATGTTCCTTCTACTTTTTATTTGCATATAAGCAATGTAAAGGGGAAAACCTTGAATTCAGCCTTGAATCACTCCCATATTGTGGTAGTGATTAACACCTAAATGAATATAGAACTATTGTTTCCGATCAACAAAAATGTTGTAATTAATGTTTGTACTAAAACAAATGAGAACAAACTATAACTGAATGGGTACATTTCAGAAAAATAGGATTGTGATTGGGGTGAGAAAATCCTACAAGAGTAGGATCCAATAGGATTACTTTTGATTTCCAAAAGGAAAAAAATGGTCCAATAAGATTCTGATAGCGGTGACACAATCTTATAGGATTGGGAGAATCCTATAGGATCCATTAGTATTACTAAAAGACACCTTGTCCTAGAGAGAATTACACGTTTATCAAAACGTCACGCCCTTATTTTAAGTCTTTATAAAATCCCCTATGGGAAAAATTAATGGTGGAAAAACGATTGGAACCATTTCCCTGTTTGACCACTAGGTTGTACAGTGCCTTGCAAAAGTATTCAGCCCCCTTGGCATTTTTCCTATTTTGTTGCATTACAACCTGTAATTTAAATGGATTTTTATTTGGATTTCATGTAATGGACATACACAAAATAGTCCAAATTGGTGAAGTGAAATGAAAAAAATAACTTGTTTCAAAAAATTCTAAAAAATGAATAACGGAAAAGTGGTGCGTGGATATGTCTTCACCCCCTTCGCTATGAAGCCCCTAAATAAGATCTGGTTTAACCAATTACCTTCAGAAGTCATATAATTAGTTAAATAAAGTCCACCTGTGTGCAATCTAAGTGTCACATGATCTGTCACATGATCTCAGTATATATACACCTGTTCTGAAAGGCCCCAGAGTCTGCAACACCACTAAGCAAGGGGCCCCACCAAGCAAGCAGCACCATGAAGACCAAGGAGCTCTCCAAACAGGTCAGGGACAAAGTTGTGGAGAAGTACAGATCAGGGTTGGGTTATCAAAAAATATCAGAAACTTTGAACATCCCACGGAGCACCATTAAATCCATTATTTAAAAAATGGAAAGAATATGGCACCACAACAAACCTGCCAAGAAAGGGCCGCCCACCAAAACTCACTGACCAGGCAAGGAGGGCATTAATCAGAGAGGCAACAAAGAGACCAAAGATAACCCTGAAGGAGCTGCAAAGCTCCACAGCAGAGATTGGAGTATCTGTCCATAGGACCACTTTAAGCCGTACACTCCACAGAGCTGGGCTTTACGGAAGAGTGGCCAGAAAAAAAGCCATTGCTTAAAGAAAAAAATAAGCAAACACGTTTGGTGTTCGCCAAAAGGCATGTGGGAGACTCCCCAAACATATGGAAGAAGGTACTCTGGTCAGATGAGACTAAAATTGAGCTTTTTGGCCATCAAGGAAAACGGTATGTCTGGCGCAAACCCAACACTCATCACCTCGAGAACACCATCCCCACAGTGAAGTATGGTGGTGGCAGCATCATGCTGTGGGGATGTTTTTCATTGGCAGGGACTGGGAAACTGGTCAGAATTGAAGGAATGATGGATGGCGCTAAATACAGGGAAATTCTTGAGGGAAACCTGTTTCAGTCTTTCAGAGATTTGAGACTGGGACGGAGGTTCACCTTCAGCAGGACAATGACCCTAAGCATACTGCTAAAGCAACACTCGAGTGGTTTAAGGGGAAACATTTAGATGTCATGGAATGGCCTAGTCAAAGCCCAGACCTCAATCCAATTGAGAATCTGTGGTATGACTTAAAGATTGCTGTACACCAGTGGAACCCATCCAACTTGAAGGAGCTGGAGCAGTTTTGCCTTGAAGAATGGGCAAAAATTCCAGTGGCTAGATGTGCCAAGCTTATAGAGACATACCACAAGAGACTTGCAGCTGTAATTGCTGCAAAAGGTGGCTCTACAAAGTATTGACTTTGGGGGGGGGGGGGTGATGCACGCTCAAGTTTTCAGTTTTTTTGTCTTATTTCTTGTTTGTTTCACACAAAAAAAATATTTTGCATCTTCAAAGTGGTAGGCATGTTGTGTAAATCAAATGAAACAAACATTTTAGAATTTTCCAGATTGTAAGGCAACAAAATAGGAAAAATGCCAAGGGGTGTGAATACTTTCGCAAGCCACTGTATGTGTATTATGACTCATACTGTGGTACTCTATATAAATCAGAGGAAGAGGCAAAGCAAGTGATTTCACTCTCGCCAAAATCTGTCCAAAATAAACCCAATGCGTTTCTATGGTCTTATTTTGAACCTAAATTTGTCAACTGCCTTCCCGCCTTCGGGACAACGACTCCCATTGTTAGAGTGGAGACATGAGCATCTCGTCATTACATACAGATATCTGATATAATAGATCATCTTTGAGAGGGTCCAGTGTTGGTCAGCTGACGTGGAAGTCGTTTTGTTCCCTCTGATGTCAGCCTCTCCGTAGGTTGTGACTAGATGGGATACAGATGTTGTGAGATGTGACTTTTCGTAGCAGGTTAGGAGAACTTACACAGCAGGTTAGGATAATTAACATAGCAGGTTAGAATAATTAGGTTAAGGTTAGGAAAATGGTTAGGGTTAGCTAAAATGCAAAAAACATATACTTTTGATGTTAATTTGACAAAAGGTGGGTTTTAATGAGTGTATGGTTAGTTGGTAGGGTAATTTAAAATATAGATATATATATTTTTTTTTTTCTTCCCGTTGCCCCTTTTCCAAGTAGAAGAAGAAGAAGAAGGCGAGAAGATGGCGGAAGTGGATGCAGAGTTCGGATCAAGCAGCGCGTCGAGCCAAGTTGGTGAAGACGAATGTTCTGAATGGACAACAGTAGTATCGAAAACTGGAACAAAAAGGAAATTGTCTAAAATTGGAGTGGAGGATACGTGTATGAATGATAATGAATCGCTTCTTGTTGGGATGCGTTTGTTGAGTAAGGATGCATATGTGGGAAACCCGTTTGAGGTGTCGAAAAATGGTGAAGTATGCGCTTGGAAAAGTGGAGTCTGTCAGAGTGACCAGGAGTGGTATGATGATTTCTGATGAGCAGAGGAAGATTGCAGTGGGCCTCAAAAGAATTCGGACAACAGAAGTTTTGTGTTTTGAACTTCGGAGTAGAGCACCTGTCAAAGGAGTTATCTCAGGGGTGACGACGGATGTTGAATACCTGAAGAGAATTCCTGGTGTGGTTGGTGCCCGGCGGCTGACCCGCAGGGTGAATGTAGAAAAATAAGAAAGTCTGTCGGTCCTGTTGTTTTTTGATAAAGAGCAAATACCTACGAATGTGAAGCTTGGTTTTGTAAGATACGCTCTAAGAGCTTTCGCTCCCAAACCGCTGCAGTGTAAGAATTGTAAAGGATTTTGCCATGTTTCAAGTGTATGCAGATGGACAGAGTATACTGAAGAACGATGTGTAGAAGGATGACGGTGTAGCAATTGTGGTGGGGACCATGATATTGAGTTCCTGGAGTGCCCTGTAAGGGTGAAGGAGATTGAGGTGGCAAAAGTTAGAGCGGTGAATCGAATCTCCTATGCGGAGGCGATTAAAATAATTGAGAAAACAAGTGATGCTAGTGAAGATATGGTAGTGGACGCACCACAGCCTATAGTAAACGTTTGCTTCCAGACAAAAGATACCCTGTGTGTTAAAAATGTGGATTTTGTTGTGTTCATTGCCACAGTTATAAACTGTACAGCACAAGTCTCAAAGAAGTCTAAGAAACTGGACATTATTGTGGCTGCGGCAGAAAAGTATGTGGGACTTTTACATCTGAAGACTTGCTAGAGGTACTGTCGCAAGAAGACCTGCCCTCCCAGGTTCCCCTTGAGCCTGTGTAGGGATCAAATCTGTTTTTGTTTTTAACAGAAAAGTTGTTTGATTTAGTTTATTTTATTTTATTTCTTTATTTTTTGGTAGTTTATTTGGTAGTTTGTTCAGTTTTTTGGGAATCCTGTTCCGTCCCGCACAGGATGCACATTAAATTGTGTGGTTGCCAATATACCATAGAATATACCATGAAGAAGAACGCATACTGGGCATGACATAATCGAGGCGGCAGTGGGGCAGTATTCAAAGTCAGCATAGCTGCGCATGTGGGCTTTGGACAGTTGGTAAGCTGTATCTTTATTTGTTCGTTTTTTGGCGGATTTTGCACAACTGTACTGTGACTGGGGTCAGCATGGCAGATAATTCAGATGGTAGCATTAGGGCAGTTGATATTGATAATGATAATAAAAACCAGTGATGATCAGCTATTTACACCTATTGTAAATCGGAGGAACACGAGTAAGAGAAATCGCAATGAGGGTGATGGAGGGATGAATACTGCTGGGGAAACAATGAGTAGTGTTGAGAGTAGACCTGTAAAGCGCAGGACCACTCTAGACAAAGAGGTTAGAGTAGAAAGTTATAAAGTTATGGTAGTGTTCCCAGAACCAGCAAGTAAGTACTTCCACCCCTTGCATTTGAAAAAAGCAGTTAGGGAAGAGATTGGGGTGATTTAAGGTTGCCAAACCGCTGGGTTGCAAATCCTGATCATTGCAAATAGTCAAATTCAGCAGGAGAAAGTTTTGAAATTGAACTCACTAAATGGGGGTCTGGTAAAATGTCACATTCCCGGTGCTATCTCTAAAATGAGAGGAGTAATTGCTGGGATTCCATTGGAAGGAAGTTAAGGCTTCCCTGACAGGAGGAAAAGTTATTGAAGCAAAAAGGATGAAAAGCAAAAAGAGTGGCAGTGGAGTGGACACTACAACTCTTACACTATTATTCTGTACTGTTCCACTACAACTGTTACACTATTATTCTGTATTGTTACAATTTGAGGGGAACCTGCCGAATAGGGTGCATCTACGATCACTCAGTTATCTGGTTAGAGAGTATGTGCCGCCTCCACTTCGGTGCTTTAAGTGCCAACGGATGGGGCATGTTGCTAATGTGTTAAAAGGTCAAATGAGATGTGGATAGTGTGGTGGGGATCACGGGTATGGGAAATGTGGTCCTGAAGCTAAAGTTAAATGTTGTAACTGTGACGGAGAACATAGTGCAGCATATGGAGGATGTTAAGTACAACATAAAGCCATGGAAGCGCAGAGGTACAAAATTACAAACAATGTATCCTATGCTGAGGCTGTTCGGAAAGTGAATAACAAACCTAGTGTTCAAAATACTCCAGATAAAACATATCGGCAGATAGTGGCCGCTCTGAGAACGCCAGTGGAACCTCAGCCAATTGTTAATGTGATATGCGAGCATAAATGCTTGATTACAGTGAAAACCATGGTAGTAAATCATGTAGACTTCTTGGCCTTCATGTGTAGGGCAATCAATATGACTGCTCCACATTTCTGAAGTTACGGTAGAAATGATACATCGGATGCTGAACCAGAATTCAAATGATGATCAGGATAATAAATAGTATTATGGTGTGTCACACCCTGGCTCTGGGACTCTATTTGTTGAGCCAGGGTGTGTTCATTCTGTGTTTATTTTCTATGTTGGGGGTTCTAGTTTGTTGTTTTCTATGTTTGCCTGAGTGACTCCCAATCAGAGGCAACGAGTGTCAGCTGTTGGCTGGTTGTCTCTGATTGGGAGCCATATTTAAACTGTCTGTTTTTCCCTTTGTGTTTGTGGGTTTTTGTTCCGTGTTGGTCATTGTTACCAAGGACGTTACGAGTCGTTTGTTGTTTTGTTTCGTGCTTTAATTTAATAAAGTAAACATGTTCGTTCATCACGCTGCGCATTGGTCTACTTCTCTCCCTGACGATCGTGACAGAAAAACCCACCATACAAGGACCAAGCAGCGTGTCCAGGAGCAGGCAGACTGGACATGGGAGGATCGGCGGCCATGGAGTGAGACTGACGAGAGGCAACCCCCAAAATTTTTTAGGGGGGGGCACAGGGCATGGACGACGGGGCTGACGGAGGCAGAAAAGGGGCGTATTCAAAAGGCCACCAGGTTACGGGGGCCACTGGTCAAAGTAGGGAAAGGAGGTTTAGAGGCACGGCGAGAGGTACTGGGGTGTGTTACCAGTCCGGTCCGGCCCGTTCCAGTTCCCGGGGTAGAGCCAGTGGTGTGTGTCCCCAGTACGGTCCGGCCTGTTACGGCCCCTCGCACCAAATGGACGGTGCGCGTCACCAGCCCGGTCCGGCCTGTTCCTGCCTCTCGCACCAAGCCTACGGTGTGCGTCGCCAGCCCGGTCCGGCCTGTTCCTGCCCCTCGCACCAAGCCTACGGTGTGCGTCGCCAGCCCAGCTCGGCCTGTCCCTGCTCCACGCACCAAGCCTACGGTGTGCGTCGCCAGCCCAGCCCGGCCTGTCCCTGCTCCACGCACCAAGCCTACGGGGTGCGTCGCCAGCCCAGCCCGGCCTGTCCCTGCTCCACGCACCAAGCCTACGGGGTGCGTCGCCAGCCCAGCCCGGCCTGTCCCTGCTCCACGCACCAAGCCTACGGTGTGCGTCGCCAGCCCGGCCCGGCCTGTTCCTGCCACTCGCACCAAGTCTACGGTGCGCGTTGCCAGCCCGGCCCGGCCTGTTCCTACCACTCGCACCAAGTATACGGTGCGCGTCGCCAGCCCGGCCCGGCCTGTTCCTGCCACTCGCACCAAGTATACGGTGCGCGTCGCCAGCCCGGCCCGGCCTGTTCCTGCCACTCGCACCAAGCCAGGGGTGCGAGTCGTCAGCCTGGTCCAGCCTGTTCCTGCCACTCGCACCAAGCCAGGGGTGCGAGTCGTCAGCCTGGTCCAGCCCGTTCCTGCTACTCGCACCAAGCCAGGGGTGCGAGTCGTCAGCCTGGTAAGGCCCGTCGCTGCTCCACGCACCAAGCCAGGGGTGCGAGTCGTCAGTCCGGTGAGGCCCGTTCCGGCTCCACGCACCAAGCCAGGGGTGCGCATCGTCAGCCCGGTCCGGCCCGTTGCTGCTCCATGCACCAAGCCAGGGGTGCGAGTCGTCAGTCCGGTGAGGCCCGTTCCGGCTCCACGCACCAAGCCAGGGGTGCGTATCGTCAGCCCGGTCCGGCCCGTTGCTGCTCCACGCACCAAGCCAGGGGTGCGCATCGTCAGCCAGGTCCGGTCCTTTCCTGCCTCACGCACCAAGCCAGGGAGGCGCGTCGTCTGTCCGGCACAACCCGTGCCTGGGTCACCGGTGCCTAACCAGGTACCGGTCAACGGCTCCACTAAGGAGTTGAAGCTAACCGCTCCTGCTACGTCCAGTCCAGCTCCAGCCAGCGGGGCCAGACCGGACCAGGGGCGCTATGGGGGGTTTGTTGGAGGGTGGTGGGCAAGCCCGGAGCCAGAACCGCCGCCGAGGAGGAATGCCCACCCAGCCCTCCCCTGTTTTGCTCGTATTGAGGCGCGGTCGCAGTCCGCGCCTTTAGGGGGGGGTACTGTCACACCCTGGCTCTGGGACTCTATTTGTTGAGCCAGGGTGTGTTCATTCTATGTGTTTATTTTCTATGTTGGGGGTTCTAGTTTGTTGTTTTCTATGTTTGCCTGAGTGACTCCCAATCAGAGGCAACGAGTGTCAGCTGTTGGCTGGTTGTCTCTGATTGGGAGCCATATTTAAACTGTCTGTTTTTCCCTTTGTGTTTGTGGGTTTTTGTTCCGTGTTGGTCATTGTTACCAAGGACGTTACGAGTCGTTTGTTGTTTTGTTTCGTGCTTTAATTTAATAAAGTAAACATGTTCGTTCATCACGCTGCGCATTGGTCTACTTCTCTCCCTGACGATCGTGACATGGTGTTCATTTTTGTTCAATGGAATGCTAGGAGTTTGATAGCCAATGGACAAGAATTGAAAAAGTTTATACAGTACTATGAAAAAGTATTTGCCCCCTTTCTAATTTTCTTTACTTTTGCATATTTGTGATACTGAATGTTATCAGATCTTCAACCAAAACCTAATATTAGATCAAGGGAACATAAGTGAACAAATAACACAACAATTACATATTTATTTCATTTATTTCATAAACAAAGTTATGCAACACTCAATTCCCCTGTGTGAAAAAGTAATTGCCCCCTTACACTCAATAACTGGTTGTGCCACCTTTAGCTGCAATGACTTCAACCAAATGCTTCCTGTAGTTGTTGATCAGTCTCTCACGTCGCTGTGGAGGAATTTTGGCCCACTCTTCCATGCAGAACTGTTTTAACTCAGTGACGTGTGGGTTTTCAAGCATGAAATGCTCGTTTCAAGTCCTGCCACAACATCTCAATTGGGATTAGGTCTGGACTTTGACTAGGCCATTCCAAAACTTCAAATGTGTTGCTTTTTAGGAATTTTCATGTAGACTTGATTGTGTGTTTTGGATCATTGTCTTGCTGCATGACCCAGCTGCGCTTCAGCTTCAGCTCACAGATGGATGGTCTGACATTCTCCTGTAGAATTCTCTGATACAGAGCAGAATTCATGGTTCCTTCTATTAAGGCAAGTCGTCCAGGTCCTGAGGCAGCAAAGCATCCCCAAACCATCACACCACCACCACCATGCTTGACCTTTGGTATGATGTTCTTACTGTGGAATGCAGTGTTTGGTTTTCGCCAGGCATAATGGGACCCATCTCGTTCAAAAAGTTGACTCAAGTTTGCCAAAAAGCACCTGGATGATCATCAAGACTCTTGGAAGAACGTTCTATGGACAGATGATTCAAAAGTATAACTTTTTGGACGACATGGTTCCAGTAATGCCTGGCAAAAACCAAACTCTGCATTCCACAGTAAGAACATCATACCAAAAGTCAAGCATGGTGGTGGTGGTGTGATGGTTTGGGGATGCACAAAAACATCCTGTGGCATACTGCATTAGCATCGAACAGCCCCCGCGATATGCAACTTTTCAGGGAAGTTAGGAACCAATATACACAAGCAGTTAGGAAAGCAAAGGCTAGCTTTTTCAATCAGAAATTTGCATCCTGTAGCACTAACGCCAAAAAGTTTTGGGACACTGTAAAGTCCATGGAGAATAAGAGCACCTCCTCCCAGCTACCCACTGCACTGAGGCTAGGAAACACTGTCACCACCAATAAATCTACGATAATCGAGAATTTCAATAAGCATTTTGCTATGGCTTGGCCATGCTTTCCACCTGGCTACCCCTACCCCGGCCACCAGCTCTGCACCCTCCACTGCAACTTGCTTCTCCTTCAACCAAATTCATATAGCTGATGTCCTGAAAGAGCTGCTAAATCTGGACTTCTACAAATCAGCTGGGCTAGACAATCCGGACCCTTTCTTTCTAAAATTAGTCGCCGAAATTGTCGCAACTCCTATTACTAGCCTATTCAACCTCTCTTTCGTAACGTCTGAGATCCCCAGAGATTGGAAAGCTGCCGCGGTCATCCCCCTCTTCAAAGGGAGAGACTCTCTAGATCCAAACAGTTACAGACCTATATCCATCCTGCCCTGCCTTTCGAACGTTTTTGAAAGCCAAGTTAACAAACAGATCACCGACCCTTTCGAATCCCACCGTACCTTCTCCGCTATGCAATCTGGTTTCCGAGCTGGTCATGGGTGCACCTCAGCCACGCTCAAGGTACTAAACGATATAATAATCACGATCGATAAAAGACGGTGCTGTGCAGCCGTCTTCATCGACCTGGCCAAGGCTTTTGACTCTGTCAATCACCGCATTCTTATTGGCAGACTAAATAGCCTTGGTTTCTCAAATGACTGCCTCGCCTGGTTCACCAACTACTTCTCAGATAGAGTTCAATGTGTCAAAAAAAAAATAGCTTCCAACACTCTACTCAGCATATTTGATGTAGTCTATCTGTCACGGATTCTGCCGAGGCTGCTCCTCCTCCTTGTTCGGGCAGGCTTCGGCGTTCGTCGTCCCCGGAGTACTAGCTGCCACCGTTGAATGTTTCTATGTTTGATTGCTTTTGTCTGTCTATTGCACCTGTGTTCTATAAGTTGCCTGTTTTGTATTGGTTAGGTTGTGTGTTGTTTTTCGCGTGTCAGTTAGTGCTGCGTGTTTGCTCTGTTTGTTGTTTTGGAGTTTACGCACAGTTTGCGTAATTGCTCGCCTCTGTGAGTTTTTGAGGCCGTTTATTGTATTTTGCCTAGTGGTTAACTAGTAAACTTTTTGGACTAAGCTTCGGTGTCCTGCGCCTGACTTCCACACCACACTTACATCAGCCCATTTGACAGAACAACACACCATTATGGAGTCAGCAGGAGCAGCGGCGGCACCCAAGTCGCTGGAGGATCGGATCAGCGACCAAGACACCATGATCCGGCAACTTGGGGCCGCCATGAACGAGGTGTCCAACACTCTACGCCAGTTGGATACGGGAGGGGTGCCCACGCCTTCGCACACCTTACCATCACCATCGGCCAGTCCTCCTCTCCCAGCACCGGAACCCAGTGGCATTCGGCTCTCGCTCCCAAGGGCATATGATGGTTCTGCAGCCGGGTGTCAGGGGTTCCTCCTGCAGGTGGAACTATACCTGGCCACCATACACCCGGTGCCCTCGGGATACGAGAGCGTCTCCGCCCTCATCTCCTGTCTATCTGGCAAGGCGTTGGAGTGGGCCAACGCCGAATGGAGGGGAATAGACGCCGCTACCATCACCTACGCGGAGTTCTCCCGCCGCTTCAGGGCTGTGTTCGATCATCCACCTGAGGGGAAGGCGGCGGGGGAGCGTCTGTTCCACCTCCGACAGGGGAAGAGGAGTGCACAGGAGTTCGCCCTGGAGTTCCGGACTCTAGCGGCGGATGCGGGGTGGAATGAGAGGGCCCTCATCGACCATTACCGGTGTAGCCTACGAGAGGACGTTCGTCGTGAGCTGGCCTGCAGGGACACCAACCTATCCTTCGACCAGTTGGTGGACATTTCCATCCGTCTCGACACCCTGCTGGCTACCCGCGGACGTCCCGAGTGGGGGTCGTCCATTCCACCCTCCAGCACCTCCGAGCCGATTCCCATGGAGCTCAGGGGTCCTGGCGCTAGGGAGAGGAGGAGAGAGAACCCGAGGGGGGCCGTCCCCTGCACCAACTGTGGCCGTGGAGGACACACTGCGGCTAGGTGCTGGGGAGGGTCTCCTGGGAGAGAGGACAACAGGTCACGCACCGGGGAGTCATTTCAGGTGAGTAGGCGCCCCACTTACCCAGAGCTCTCTGTTGGTCACATGAGTATACCTGTGAGATTTCCACAGGTGGCACCTCATTCCCAGCATAAGGCGCTAGTAGATTCAAGCGCAGCTGGGAATTTTGTTGATCGTGAATTTGGTTATAGGCTAGGAATTCCCCTTCGGCCGGTAGAAGCCCCTTTTCCTGTTCATGCCCTAGACAGCCGGCCGCTGGGGTCGGGGTTGATCAGGGAAGTCACAGCACCACTTAAGATGACGACGCAGGGGGGTCATGAGGAGATCATTCAGTTTTATCTGATCGACTCTCCTGCGTATCCCGTGGTGCTGGGGCTTCCCTGGTTAAGCGCCCATGATCCTACCATTGCGTGGCAACAGAGGGCTCTTATGGAGTGGTCTGCCCAGTGTGTAGGGAAATGTCTAGGTGTTTCCTTAGGGGCGACCTCGGTGGAGAGTCCGAACCAAGTGCCCGCAATGCGCATTCCCCCTGAATATGAGGATTTAGCACTTGTGTTCAGCAAAACCAGGGCAACACGGCTACCACCTCATAGACAGGGGGATTGTGCGATAGATCTCCAAACAGGAGCGGCACTTCCGCGGAGCCGTGTGTATCCCCTGTCTCAATTAGAGACAGCGGCTATGGAGACTTACATAGCCGAGTCCTTGGTACAGGGATACATCCGGTCCTCCACTTCCCCGGTGTCCTCGAGTTTCTTCTTTGTGAAGAAGAAGGACGGGGGTTTGCGCCCATGTATTGATTACCGTAGTCTCAATCAGATCACGGTTAAGTACAGTTACCCTCTTCCTCTGATTGCGACTATGACGGAGTCATTACGCGGAGCGCGGTTCTTCACAAAGTTGGATCTCAGGAGCGCGTACAATCTGGTGCACATTAGAGAGGGGGATGAATGGAAAACAGCATTTAGCACCACCTCGGGTCATTACGAGTATCTCGTCATGCCATACGGGTTAATGAATGCTCCTTCAGTCTTCCAATCATTTGTTGACGAGATTTTCCGGGACATGCATGGGCAGGGTGTGGTAGTATACATTGACGACATCCTAGTGTACTCTTTTACCCGAGCCGAGCATGTAGCCCTGGTGCGCCGAGTATTGAGGAGGCTGTTGGAGCATGACTTGTATGTTAAGGCAGAGAAATGCCTGTTTTTCCAGGAGTCCATCTCCTTTTTGGGTTATCGATTGTCCGCGTCTGGTGTGAAGATAGAGGTTGACCGTGTGTCGGCCGTGCGTAATTGGCAAACTCCAACCACTGTAAAAGAGGTGCAGCAGTTTTTGGGTTTTGCTAATTACTACCGGAGGTTTATCCGGGGCTTTGGACAGGTGGCAGCTCCCATTACGTCCCTGCTAAAGGGGGGTCCGGTGCGTTTGCAGTGGTCAGCTGAAGCGGACAGGGCATTTGTTAGACTGAAGAACCTGTTCACTTCGGCTCCGGTGCTGGCGCATCCGGACCCCGCTTTACCATTTCAAGTTGAGGTAGACGCATCCGAGGCCGGTATTGGGGCAATCCTGTTGCTACGGTCCGGCACGCCACCCAAGCTCCGCCCCTGTGCGTTCTACTCTAAGAAGCTCAGCTCGACGGAGCGTAATTATGACGTAGGGGACAGGGAGCTGTTGGCTGTAGTCCAGGCCCTAAAGGTGTGGAGGCATTGGCTTGAGGGGGCTCAACACCCTTTCCTCATTCTGACTGACCACCGTAACCTGGAGTACATCCGGGCAGCTAGGAGATTGAACCCTCGTCAGGCTAGGTGGAACATGTTCCTGACCCAGTTTGTTTTTAAGATCACATACATCCCAGGGTCCCAGAACGGTAAGGCAGACGCCCTGTCCCGGCGGTATGACACAGAGGAGAGGTCTATTGAGCCTACTCCCATACTGCCGGAGTCTTGTCTGGTGGCTCCGGTGGTGTGGGAGGTCGATGCGGAGATCGAGCGGGCACTGCGTACCGACCCTACTCCCCCCGAGTGTCCTGTGGGGCGGACGTACGTTCCGCTCGAGGTTCGTGACCGCCTTATTTATTGGGCTCATACATCACCCTCCTCTGGACATCCAGGTATTGGCCAGACAGTGCACTGCCTTAGCGTGAAATACTGGTGGCCAACGTTAGCTAGGGATGTGAGGGTTTATGTCTCCTCCTGCTCGGTGTGCGCCCAGTGTAAGGCGCCTAGACATTTGCCCAGGGGAAAGTTACATCCCCTGCCCGTTCCACAACGACCATGGTCCCACCTCTCGGTGGATTTTGTGACCGACCTTCCCCCCTCCCAGGGGAATACCACCATTTTGGTCGTTGTGGACCGGTTTTCCAAGGCCTGTCGTCTCCTCCCAATGCCGGGTCTCCCTACTGCCCTACAGACCGCTGAGGCCCTATTTACCCACGTGTTCCGGCACTATGGGGTCCCCGAGGATATTGTGTCTGACCGAGGTCCCCAGTTCACCTCCAGAGTCTGGGGGGCGTTCATGGAACGCTTGGGGGTCTCGGTGAGCCTTACCTCAGGGTACCACCCAGAGAGCAATGGGCAGGTTGAACGAGTCAACCAGGATGTGGGTAGGTTTCTGAGGTCCTATTGCCAGGGCCGGCCGGAGGAGTGGTCTAGGTATATCCCCTGGGCAGAGATGGCCCAGAACTCTCTCCGCCACTCCTCCACCAATTTAACACCTTTCCAGTGTGTTTTACGGTATCAGCCGGTCCTGGCACCATGGCACGAGAGCCAGATCGAGGCCCCTGCGGTGGATGAGTGGATTCGGCGCTCGGAGGAGACGTGGGAAGCTGCACATGTCCATCTGCAGCGGGCCATCTGTCGACAGAAGGTGAGCGCCGATCGCCACCGCAGTGAGGGACCGGTATACGCACCGGGAGATCGAGTCTGGCTCTCGACTCGAAACCTGCCCCTCCGCCTGCCCTGCCGGAAGCTGGGTCGGCGGTTTGTGGGGCCCTTTAAAGTCCTGAGAAGATTGAACGAGGTGTGTTACAGGTTACAACTGCCTATTGATTACAAGAATATTAACCCCTCGTTCCATGTGTCTCTTCTCAGGCCGGTGGTAGCTGGCCCACTCCAAGAAGATGAGATAGGAGAGACCCCTCCGCCCCCATTGGACATCGAGGGGGCCCCGGCGTACAGGTTCCGGACCATCTTGGACTCGAGGCGCCGGATGAGTGGTCTCCAGTATCTCGTGGAGTGGGAGGGGTACGGTCCGGAGGAACGGTGCTGGGTGCCTAGGAGGGACATCCTAGATCCATCCCTCCCGACTGAGTTCCACCGTGGGCATCCCACGCGCCCGGGTCCGCGTCCTCCTGGCCGTCCCCGAGGCCGGGGTCGGCGCACGGCTGGAGCCGCGCGTCAAGGGGTGGGTACTGTCACGGATTCTGCCGAGGCTGCTCCTCCTCCTTGTTCGGGCAGGCTTCGGCGTTCGTCGTCCCTGGAGTACTAGCTGCCACCGTTGAATGTTTCTATGTTTGATTGCTTTTGTCTGTCTATTGCACCTGTGTCCGTTTGTGTCTGATTATGTGTTCTATAAGTTGCCTGTTTTGTATTGGTTAGGTTGTGTGTTGTTTTTCGCGTGTCAGTTAGTGCTGTGTGTTTGCTCTGTTTGTTGTTTTGGAGTTTACGCACAGTTTGTGTAATCGCTCGCCTCTGTGAGTTTTTGAGGCCGTTTATTGTATTTTGCCTAGTGGTTAACTAGTAAACTTTGTTGGACTAAGCTTTGGTGTCCTGCGCCTGACTTCCACACCACACTTACATCAGCCCATTTGACACTATCACAGTGCCATCCGTTTTGTCACCAAATCCCCATATACTACCCACCATTGTGACCTGTACGCTCTCGTTGGCTGGTCCTCACTACATATTCGTCACCAAACCCACTGGCTCCAGGTCATCTATAAATCACTTCTAGGCAAATCCCCGCCTTATCTTAGCTCATTGGTCACCATAGCAACACCCACCCGTAGAATGCGTTCCAGCAGGTATATCTCACTGGTCATCCCCAAAGTCAACACCTCCTTTGGCCGCCATTCCTTCCAGTTCTCTGCTGCAAATGACTGGAACAAACTGCAAAAATCTCTGAAGCTGGAGACACTTATCTCTCTCACTATCTTTAAGCATCAGTTGTCAAAGCAGCTTACCGATCACTGCACCTGTACACAGCCCATCTGTAATTAGCCCACCCAACTACCTCATCCCCATATTGTTATTTACATTGTTATTTATTTTTCTCATTTGCACTCCAGTATCTCTATTTGCACATCATCTACTGCACATCTATCACTCCAGTGTTAATACTAAATTGTAATGATTTTGCACTATGGCCTATTTATTGCCTTACCTCCATAACTTACTACATTTGCACACACTGTATATAGATTTTCTATTGTGTTATTGACTGTACGTTTTGTTTATTCCATATGTAACTCTGTGTTGTTGTTGTTTTTATCGCACTGATTTGCTTTATCTTGGCCAGGTCGCAGTTGTAAATGAGAACTTGTTCTCAACTGGCCTACCTGGTTAAATAAACTGGCCTACCTGGTTTTTTTTTGGTTTTTTTAAAGGGTGTGTTAAGTGGTGGTGTCCCATCCCTTGGCTGTTGGCCTGAAGTAGGAATAAATAGATTTAAATAGTGGAGTATGGTATTTATTATTTTATATATATATATATATATATATATATATATATATATATATATATATATATTGTGTGAGTGTAGTATTAGATGGTAGGGTATTTGTTGTATTTTGTATTTTTTTAAGCAAATTATAAGCGAGTTATACTCCAGTCTAGTAGGTGGCGGTAATGCAACATTTATTGGTTGCCAACCGCTGTTAAACCTCATCGAAGAAAAAGAGGAAGATGTAGCGGATCGAGTACAGGGAGAGATAAAGACAGGTTGTTAGACAACACGATGGCTTTGCGGCACGGTCTGGACTCGCAGATAGTAATAGTTGGCTGTGGAATATCTGGTATTGGAGCAGCTTTGAAGTTAACCAAACATGGTTTCCGCAATGTGAGGATCCTGGAAGCGACGGGACGTAGTGGAGGAAGGATAAAGACAGGCAGAATGGGTGAGTGGAGAGGGAACATTTGAGTTCACATGAGGAGAGAAGGGGTGCGTTCGATCGGATCACTTAATTTTGTCAAGTCTATGGTCACCGCTTTTCAAAGTGTTGCATTATGGGGATAAAATCGTCCGACTTGCACCTATATGTCGACTGCATGAGTTTTACTAAAATCATGTGATCAAAGGTCATTCAGTTTTGACTGCAGTTGCACTTCACCAACTCCATCCTGCAGCCATCATGGTGATGGGCCGAAAAACGTGAAACTTGTATTTATTTATTCGACAGTAAAACATTATTTTGATGCCTATAACATTTGTTGGCACCTTCAATTCGTGCACATTTTCTCATAAAAAGTATACTTCAACATTGTCTGCTCAGGCAAAACTGCTAAAGTTGAACTCTGGACACCTCGTGATGAAGACAGCCAATGGCCTACTTCTAACTACGTACGAGTCGTAAACACAGCCTCTTGTGAAAACGTAAGCTGCTGTCTGATAAATAGGAACAGCTATAGCAATAGATAAATATCTGTACGAATTGTTTTGATCATATGAAGAAGTACCATCGTTGACCATTTAGCCAATTTATATTTATACTGTAATATTACAGTTTGACTAGCCTAGCCAGCTACTATAAACGTCAATTTGTGTTTCATTAGCCATATCTCTGTCAGTGAATTACATTTTTTAAATTTTTTTATGTTTTGGCATGATAGTCTCATTTCAAGTAACTAGCTGCAAGCTTAACGAAACATTCAATAATATACTTTGCATAGAAACCCAAATAAAAGCATGTAGATAGAAAGGTGTGTGATCATGTACGCTAGAATGGAGCTTTAAAAACGACAGCTGCATATGCATATTTGCCAAAACATATTTAAGCAAAAAGGCCCAAGGGGGTGTGGTATATGGCCAATATACCACTGCTAAGGGCTGTTCTTATGCACAGAGTGCCTGTATACAGCCCTTAGCTGTGGTAAATTGGCCATATACCACAAACCCCTGAGGAACCTTATTGCTATAATAAACTGGTTACCAACGTAATTCGAGCAGTAAAAATTTATGTTTTGTCATATGGTCTGATATACCATGGCTGTCAGCATTCAGGGATATGGCACACAGGGCCTTCAGAAAGTATTCACACTCCTTGACTTCTTCAAAATTCTGTTGTTACAGCCTGAATTTGAAATTGATTACATTTAGATTTTGTCACTGGCTTACACACAAAAGCCCATAATGTCAAAGTGGAATTGTTTTTAGACATTTTTACAAATTTAATAAAAAGTTGAAATGTCTTGAGTCGATTAGCTTTCAACCCCTTTTGTTATGGCAAGCCTAAATGTCAGGAGTAAACATTTGCTTAACAAGTCACAAGTTGCATGGACTCACTCTGTGCGGCAATAATAGTTTTAACATGATTTTTTAATGACTACCTCATCTCTGTACCTCACACATACAATTATCTGTAAGGTCCCTCAGTCGAGCACTGAATTTCAAATGAAGATTTAACCACAAAGACCAGGGAGGTTTTCCAATGCCTCGCAAAGAAGGGCACCTATTGGTAGATTGGTAAAAAATTAAAAGCAGACATTGAATATCCCTTTGAGCATGGTGAAGTTATTAATTACACTTTGGATGGTGTATCAATACACCCAGGTGTCCTTCCTAACTCAGTTGCCGGAGAGGAAGGAAATGGTTCAGGGATTTCACCACAAGGCCAATGGTGACTTTAAAACAGTAACAGAGTTGAAAGGCTGTGATAGGAGAAAACTGAGGATGCATCAACAACATTTTATTACTCCACAATACTAACCTAATTGACAGTGAAAAGAAGGAAGCCTGTACAGAAGAAAAAAAAATTCTAAAATATGCACCTGTTTGATATAAGGCACTAAAGTAAAACTGCAAAAAATGTGGCAAAGAAATTAACTTTATGTCCTGACTACAAAGCCTTATGTTTGGGACAAATCCAACACATCACTGAGGACCACTCTTCATATTTTCAAGCATGGTGGTGGCTGCATCATGTTATGGGTATGCTTGTCATCGCCAAAGACCAGGGTGTTTTTTAGGATAAAAAGTAACGGAATAGAGCTAAGTACAGGCAAAATCCTAGAGGGAAACTAAAGAAACAGTTGTACAGTCTGTGCAATAAGATAACCAGAGTTTGATTTCTAAACCAGATGAGTTTTCAAATAGCAGCTTACCAATTCCATGGTGGGCATGCATAATGTTGGATGCATTGGAATATAAGGTATGGAGAATGATGAATAGCCTGTAGGATTATAGAAAAAGCAGTTCAGTGATTAAATGTTCAGTGAATATGAGTATATTTAGGTGGTTTAAATGATTAACATTCCTACTAACCTCCTAAGTTGACTGTGCCAATATATTTCCATCCCATTAATTATTCTACAAACTATGACTGAGTGTGAGGCATGTTTTTCATAATGTACACTACCGGTCAAAAGTTTTAGAACACCTACTCATTCAAGGGTTTTACTTTATTTTTTTAACGATTTTCTACTGTATAGAATAATAGTGAAGACATCAACACTATGAAATAACACATATGGAATCATGTAGTAACCAAAAAGTGTTAAATTAATCTAAAAATATTTTATATTTGAGATTCTTCAAATAGCCACCCTTTGCCTTGATGACAGCTTTGCACACTCTTGGCATTCTCTCAACCAGCTTCACCTGGAATGCTTTTCCAACAGTCTTGAAGGAGTTCCCACATATGCTGAGCACTTGTTGGCTGCTTTTCCTTCACTGCTTTTCCTTTGCTGTCCAAATCATCCCAAACCATCTCAATTTGGTTGAGGTCGGGTGATTGTGGAGGCCAGGTCATCTGATGTAGCACTCCATCACTCTCCTTCTTGGTAAAATAGCCCTTAGACAGCCTGGAGGTGTGTTGGGTCATTGTCCTGTTGAAAAACAAATGATAGTCCCACTAAGCCCAAACCAGATGGGATGGCGTATCGCTGCAGAATGCTGTGGTAGCCATGCTAGTTAAGTGTGCCTTGAATTCTAAATAAATCACAGACAGTGTCACTAGCAAAGCACCCCCACACCATAACACCTCTTCCTCCATGCTTTACGGTGGGAAATACACATGCGGAGATAATCCGTTCACCCACACCGTGTCTCACAAATACACGGCGGTTGGAACCAAAAATCTCCAATTTGGACTCTAGACCAAAGGACACATTTTCACTGGTCTAATGTCCATTCCTCGTGTTTCTTGGCCCAAGCAAGTCTCTTCTTATTATTGGTGTCCTTTAGTAGTGGTTTCTTTGCAGCAATTCGACCATGAAGACCTGATTCACACAGTCTCCTCTGAACAGATGATGTTGAGATGTGTCTGTTACTTGAACTCTGTGAAGCATTTATTTGGGCTGCAATTTCTGAGGCTGGTAACTGTAATGAACTTATCCTCTGCAGCAGAGGTAACTCTGGGTCTTCCATTCCTGTGGCGGTCCTTAATATATATTGATTGGTTTAACACTTATTTTGGTTACTACATGATTCCATATGTGTTATTTCATAGTTTTAATGTCTTCACTATTATTCTACAATGTATAAAATAGTAAAAATAAAGAAAAACCCTTGAATGAGAAGGTGTTCTAAGTTACCGTGAGTGTGATCACACAGTCGTCCGGGATAGCTGGTGCTCTCATGCATGCTTCAGTGTTGCTTGCCTCGAAGCACGCATAGAAGTAATTTAGCTCGTCTGGTAGGCTCACGGCTGAGTTTCCCTTTGTAGTCCGTAATAATTTGCAAGCCCTGCCACATCCGACGAGCGTCAGAGCCGGTGTAGTATGATTCAATCTTAGTCCTGTATTTACGCTTTGCCTGTTTGATGGTTCGTCTGAGGGCATAGCGGGATTTCTTATAAGCGACCGGGTTAGGGTAAAACGGATTTCAGTTTCCCTGCATTAAAGTCCCCGACCACTAGGAGCGCCGCCTCTGGATGAGCATTTTTTTGTTTGCTTATGGCTTTATACAGCTCGTTGAGAGCGGTCTTAGTGCCAGCATCGGTTTGTGGTGGTAAATAGACTACTACGAAAAATATAGGTGAAAACTCTCTTGGTAAATTGTGGTCTACAGCTTATCATGAGATACTCTACCTCAGGTGAGCAAAACCTAGAGACTTCCTTAATATTTGATTTTGCGCACCAGCTGTTATTGACAAAAAGACACAGACCACCACCCCTTGTCTTAATGGAGACAGCTGTTCTGTCTTGCCGATGCACACCATACAACCAACTGTATATTATCCATGTCGTCGTTCAGCCACGACTTGGTGAAACATAAGATATTACAGTTTTTAATGTCCCAAACGCCATGCTCTACCAACTGAGCTACATCCCTGCCGGCCATTCCCTCCCCTACCCTGGACGACGCTGGGCCAATTGTGCGCCGCCCCATGGGTCTCCCTGTCGCGGCCGGCTACGACAGAGCCTGGATTCGAACCAGGATCTCTAGTGGCACAGCTAGCACTGCGATGCAGTGCCTTAGACCACTGCGCCACTCGGGAGTGGTAGGATAGTCTTGAACGGATGGTAGAGGCGGGTTACCCACTTGCCGACAAATTCTCACAAGGCACCCGGACCTGCATCCCCTGTATCTGCGTCTTCTCTTCACGCGAATGACGGGGATTTGGGCCTGGTCGGGTATCTGGAGTAAATCCTTCACGTCCGACTCGTTAAAGAAAAAATCCAGTTCGAGGTGAGTAATCACTGTGCTGATATCCAGAAGCTATTTTCGGTCATAAGAGACGGTGGCAGAAACATTATGTACAAAATAAGTTACAAATAACGCAAAAACCCCCACAAAATAGCACAATTGGTTAGGAGCCCGTAAAACGGCGGACATCTCCTCCGGCGCCATTGTTGGAACAATAGTAGGATGGTTCTCCTCACAGGTGAGTGAATCAGCCCATGCTTGGTGAATAGCACTTGGTTGATCTCTGGGAGCAGGACACAGAAGAGCTGAATAGACCATGTGAGAGATAAGAATCAATCAAATAAATCATCACAGCAAAGAACATGTAGTTTGTAAGCTAGAAAATGAACATCCTGACAGTCTGAAGGCTCTATTTTAACAAACCTAACGCAATGGTAAATCTAAGCGCAAGCGGTAGTGCGATAGGTTTAGGGGTGTGTCAAAAATATTTGTGCTATATTCACTATCACAGTTATCAGCACACTTGCTGCTGTTGTGGATGTGTCGAGGCTTGACCACTCACTGGCCAATCAGAACGTACTCCATGGCGAAATATGTGGTTGCTTCAAGTTGTTTATTTAGTCTTTCATGTATTGCCTTGGAATCAACTCCAATTCCAATGTTAGTCCGTTATAGTTTGTTAAATGACTTACAGAAACAAAATAACAAAATGTAAACCTATCTTTGCTAAATATGTCAACTTGAACACATTTGCAATCACATTGTTCTAAGTAATTGCATGGCTTCAATAGCATTCACACTGATATAGAGGCTAGGCCTACTGTAAATTGCATTATGGCTGAGCATGGACATGCCAAACGTTGTCAATAAGCAAGATTAAATTCATTATTGATAAGGCCTAAAAAGAGAACGAATAATAAAATTCAAATTCTAAATAGGCTATGTCACATTTACAGGCACCGTAATTTCTCCCCGTGGGCATATAATATTAAAACAATGCAGACTATGGATGGTTTTACACACATCCAAACTTTTCACAGTAGCTGGACAAAGATCCAATATATACTGAAGAAAAATATAAACGTAGCATGCAACAATTTCAAAGATTTTACAGTTACAGTTTATATAAGGAAATCAATCAATTGAAATAAATAAATTAGGCCCTAATCTATGGATTCCACATGACTGTGCAAGGGCATGGGGCCACCCACTGGGGAGCCAGGCCCAGCCATCAGAATGAGTTTTTCCCCACAAAAGGGCTTTATTACAGACAGAAATACTCATTACTACTTATTGCTGTGTAATTGTGTAACCTACTCATATGCTGTATGTTGCTAAACTTGTTTGAATTTTTTTCTCTCCCTCTCTCTCTCTCTCTCTCTCTCCCTTCCCACTCTCTCCTCTAGGTAATAACATCATAGAGATTGGTGCTAACTGGATCCATGGTCCGTCGGAGGCTAACCCAGTGTTCTGTCTGTCCAGACAGTACAGCCTGCTGGACCCAGAGAGCCTGACTCAGGAGAACCAGGACCTGGATATAGGAGGTCACCCACCATGGGTACCAAACTGGTTCTCCAGCTCTGGTAAAAACAGTTAGGCCAGACAGAGATTGATTTAAATGGATGAAAATGTCATATTACGTCACCCCGTCCGCTTCTGTCCGTCAAAAGTGAAAATGAGTTGAACTGACAATGAGTTGAACTGACTTGAGTTTGTTCGACAGACAAAGTTGGCCGAGTTGCGTACAAGCAACAGACCAAAGTGTGGATCCGTTCTCTTTTGTCGGTCAATGTATGAACCCCATAGAAAAAACGTTGTCTCATACAAAGTCTTACTTAGTTAGTCAGTAGTTCGTTAACATTGTGTTGTGTTTCTACCAGGTCGTAAGCTGACTCCAGAGCTGATGGGTCCTGCTGTAGAGCTGTTTGCTGAGCTGTTGGAGGAGGGAGGAGAGTTCAGTGAACAGGGAGGAGAACCATATAGCAGTGTGGGGGAGTTCATACGGGCAGAGGTACGTCACACATGCGCACACACACATACACACCCCGTATACCTATATCTCTCTGTCTGCCTGTTAAACGTGTGTGTGTGTGTGTAGGTGCGTCAGCGTGCAGCAGAGCGGTGGCAGGGTGACAGTCCGTCCTGTCAGTCTGTCCGTCTGTCTCTGATCAGTACTCTGCTGAAGGTGGAGTGTTGTGTGAACGGAACACACACTCTGGACACGCTGGGCCTGGGAGCCTTTGGACTGTACAAGACCCTGCCTGGATTGGACTGCACCTTCCCCCGGTCAGTTTGTGTGTGCTCACAGGGATGGGGGAAGTAGGGGTGCGGCTGGGTTAAATGGAATAGTAACTGAAATCTGGACACTGACTGTAGGCCTATAACCTCTCACATGTAGCCTAATATAATATAATTCCTGCAGAATTAATTATTTCTTGCAGTAAAATTATACACCAAATGTTAATTTTGTCTTGGGAACAGGAGTGGAGAAATATGATGTATTTCTTTCAGCATCTTGAGAGAATGCAAATGGACGGTTAGGTACTGTCTTTTTCAGTAGGCTATTTTAACCACATTAAATATGCATCCAAGACGAACTGAAATATTATCCGAATCTTGTTGGATCGTTTTCACAGCTTTTCATTTCCTTAAAACCGGTCAAATTTAACAGAATCTTTCAGCGTTATTGCAGTTTTCCCCCGGTCTCTATAAACGTCATAAATTAAAGAGAAAACAGCTAGGTTATTGATACATTTATTCTATTGATTTATGACTTTATTCTGGTGAGCAAGGCTTTATTAAGTATTCAAGGGCAACAAGTAATGACAGAAGAGAAGCTGCATGTATCTAATTCTAAACAAGTTGACTAACAAATCCTACCAAATGTCGTAAATTCGAAGCATAAAAATATCTAAATTAGGCTGTCAAAAAATCCTTCCACTGTCTCTGTGTGTGTGTGCGTGCGTGCATGCGCGTGTGTATAGACATCGATTGCACTCTTCTCAGTTTAACGCTGAGGGCCATCGCTGTGTGAGTGACTTGACTAGACTGTTGTTCTGTCTCTCTCAGAGGTTATGAAGGGTTAATCTACAACTTGATGAAAGAGCTTCCTGCTGGGATAGTCTCCTACCGTCGACCAGTCAGCTGTGTCCACTGGCAGAGGGTGGTGAGGAAAGGAGGGAGAGAGTACCCTGTAGTGGTGGAGTGTGAAGATGGAGAGAGAATCCCAGCGGACCACGTCATCCTCACTGTCCCTCTCGGTAGGTCACACACACAATGTCAAATGACTACTGTCATTTGTGTTCTTTTATTACATTTTATGACATCTCTTCTAAGAGTTTAGTCTCTAAACATGAACCTTTTATAACCAGTGACAAACATTGTGACCTTACCTTCTCAAAGAACTGTAAGTCTGAGTTTTCTGTGCTACCAGGCTACTTAAAGAGGCACCATGACATGTCACTCTCCCCTCTTCTCCTCTCATATACTATTTTTATAACAACCTCATAACTACACTGAACAAAAATATAAATGCAACAATTTCAAAGATTTTACTGAGTTACAGTTCATATAAGGAAATCCGTCCATTGAAATAAATTCATTAGGCTCTAATCTATGGATTTCACATGACTGGGAATACAGATATGCATCTGTTGGTCACAGATACCTTAAAACAAGTAGGGGCGTGGATCAGAAAACCAGTCAGTATCTGGTGTGACCACCATTTGCCTCATGCAGTGCATCACATCTCCTTCGCATAGAGTTGATCAGGCTGTTGATTGTGGGATGTTGTCCCACTCCTCTTCAATTACTGTGCGAAGTTGCTAGATATTGGCTGGAACACGCCCACACGTCCATAGCTTATGCCTGCCCATACCATAACCTCACCGCCACCATGGGGCACTCTGTTCACAACGTTGACATCAGCAAACCGGTACAGTTGAAATCGGGATTCATCCGTGAAGAGCACACCTCTCCAGCGTGCCAGTGTCCATCGAAGGTGAGCATTTGCCCACTGAAGTCGGTTACGACGCCGAACTGCAGTCAGGTCAAGACCCTGGTGAGGACGACGAGCACGCAGATGAGCTTCCCTGAGACGGTTTCTGACAGTTTCTCTAAAACGACGTTGGAGGCGGCTTATGGTAGAAAAATTAACTTAATTCTCAGGCAACAGCTCTGGTGGACATTCATGCAGTCAGCATGCCAATTGCATGCACCCTCAATTTGAGACATATGTTGCATTATGTTGTGTGACAACTGCACATTTTAGAGTGGCTTTTTATTGTCCCCAGCACAAGGTGCACCTGTGTAATGATCATTCTGTTTAATCAGCTTCTTGATATGCCACACCTGTCAGGTGGATGGATTATCTTGGCAAAGGAGAAATGCTCACTAACAGGGATGTAAACAAATTTGTGCACAAAATTTGAGAGAAATTAGCTTTATGTGGGTATGGAACATTTCTGGGATCTTTTATTTCATCTCATGAAACATGGGACCAACACTTTTGTTCACTGTACATAAAAATGATATCTACTATTATTCTATCAGGTTATCTGAAGAAGCATCATGGTACCCTCCTCTCCCCTCCTCTACCCCTCCACAAGCTGCACTCTGTCCAGAGGATGGGCTTTGGAACCAACAACAAGATCTTTGTGGAGTTTGACCAACCCTGGTGGGACGACGACTGTGAGGTCATATACCTGGTCTGGGAAAACGAGGTATGAAACACATAGCATACAGTGAAAAGAGTAGTGGGCCCAAAACGGATCCTTGAGGAACACAATATATATCTATCATTACAAACACAGACAGTAACAGTAGTTGTACTGTTGCCCTCTAGTCAGACTTGGTGGACCAGGTATCAGATGTGGAGAGACTCTGGATCAAGAAACTGTTTGGTTTCACTGTCCTCAAACCCACTGAGCGGTAACTAAGACATACACACAAACAAAAAATCTAAAAATGTTCTAACTCAATGTCTTGAACTCCCCACGCCTCTTGCCTCTCACACTCTTTCCCCCTCTTTACCCCTGTCTCTCCAGGTATGGCCATGTGTTGTGTGGCTGGATCGCTGGTCATGAGTCTGAGTTCATGGAGACTCTGCCAGAACAGGATGTCACACACTCCATAACACACCTGATACGCAGGTTCACAGGTAAACCCTCTAACATCTAACCCCTCCATCACACGCCTCATATGCAGGTTAACCCATTGTACTTTCATGTCTGTAATCTACGGTTCAGTCAGTAGTGTGTTAATCTTTTGTTCCCTTTTTGGCAAGCTAGCTACTACCTGCCTCCCCACGGTTGAGTTGCTTGGGTAGCGCTCTTGTTCTAGCGTTAAGTGGCTTAGTTATTCTAAACGGACCGTGCTTCGGTCAAAGAGGCTATCTAGCCTAGCTTGGACTAAAAAGCCTCCTAGCTAACGTCAGCTAGCATGCTTAACTTCCTGCGAATGAAGCTTTACTGGGATACATTTCTGATTCCTGCCTGTATCTCACTAGTCCCTATGAGGTGTCTAGTGATACAGGTTATGGGCCCTGTAGGCGATTGGTTGTTGGTAGCGGAGTCGAAGGGAACAAGCAGGGTTGGACACGACCTTGCTATTATATGTAAATGCATTTGGAAAGTATTCAGACCCTTTTCACTTTTTCCACATTTTGTTATTTTGTCTCAAGCTCTGTCAGGTTGAATGGGGAACGTTGCTGCACAGCTATTTTCAGGTATCTCCAGAGAAGTTCGATCGGGTAGCGGTCTGGGCTCTGGCTGGGCCACTCAAGGACATTCAGAGACTTGTCCCGAAGCCACTCCTGCATTGTCTTGGCTGTGTGCTTAAGGTCGTTGTCCTGTTGGAAGGTGAACCTTCGCCCCAGTCTGCACTCTGGAGCAGGTTTTCATCAAGGATCTCTCTGTACTTTGCTCCGTTCATCTTTCCCTCGTTCCTGACTAGTCTCCTAGTCCCTGCCGCTGAAAAACATCCCCACAACAGGATGCTGCCACCAACATGCTTCACCTTAGGGATGGCGCCAGGTTTCCTCCAGACGTGACGCTTGGCCTTCAGGCCAAAGAGTTCAATCTTGGTTTCATCAGACCAGAGAATCTTGTTTCTCATGGTCTGAGAGTCCTTTAGGTGCCTTTTGGCAAACTCCAAGTGGGCTGTCATGTGCCTTTTACTGAGGAGTGGCTTCCGTCTGGCCACTCTACCATAAAGGGCTAATTGGTGGAGTGCTGCAAAGATGTTTGTCCTTCTGGAAGGTTCTCCCATCTCCACAGAGGTACTCTGGCGCTCTGTCAGCATGACCATCGGGTTCTTGGTCACCTCCGTGACCAAGGCCCTTCTCCCCCGATTGCTCAGTTTGGCCGGGCGGAGTCTTGGTGGTTCCAAACTTATTCCATTTAAGAATGCTGGAGGCCATTGTGTTCTTGGGGACCTTCAATGCTGCAGACATTTTTTGGTACCCTTCCCCAGATCTGTGCCTCGACACAATCCTGTCTCGAAGCTCTAGGGACATTTCCTTCGACCTCATGGCTTGGTTTTTGCTCTGACATGCACTGTCAACTGTGGGACCTTATATAGACAGGTGTGTGCCTTTCCAAATCATGTCCAATCAATTTGTAGAAACATCTCAAGGATGATCCATGGAAACAGGATGCACCTGAGCTCAATTTCGAGTCTCATAGCAAAGGGGTTTCTAAACCTATTGCCCCTTTTGAACGACTGTAGTCTGTGGATATGAATATCCTCCTACGAAACCTCCTTGCTTGTGGCTTTGACCTCGGCTAAACGTGTTGGAGATCTCCACGTGTTATCCGTACACCCTTCCTGTACTCAGGTTTGCCCCTGGCGACTCTAAGGTGACGTTGCATCCTAATGCGGCCTTCGCCCCAAAGGTCATGACTATGTCCTACAGGTCTCTAGCTTTGAGCTATTTCCTTTTACGCCTCCTCCATTTGCTTCTGAGAAGCAACGGATCCGGGCTATCCGCTTATGTGACCAGCTTTTTGTCTGTTTCCTAATCTAGCTCGCGGCAGGGCGATCTCTGAGCAGCGTCTCTCCCACTGGATTGTGGAGGCTATCTCCCTGGCATATAGCAGCAAGGGTTACCTAGTGGTGTACGCATCCACTCCACCCAGGGGTCTGGCAGCGTCTTCGGCGTTACTTAAAGGGTTGACTGTTGGGGATATTTGTGCTGCGGCAAGTTGGGCATCACCACACTTTTGTGAGGTTTGTCGCTTGGATGTCACTGCTTCAAGTGTAGCCCATAGCGTGCTGACAGGAGAGGGTTAATAGGCAGCTTGCGATACCCAGACTACCGCATCTTGCAGGGTGGAGGTCTGGGTGGTCTGCCATGGGCCATTTCATTTGGTATCCATTGGGGCCGGCTTGGGGCGGGATTTACATTTCCCCATAGTTGTGTTGTACCTAGAGTACCAACTGAAAGGGGATGTAACGTTATGACTGTAACTATTGTTCCTTTGAGGAAAATGAGGTACAACACCAGTTCCCCTGCGCCACCCGGTTCTGGGCGCAGTGAGGAGTGGTACTGAATTGAAGAAAATGTATCCGAGCCTCAGCGTTATCACCTGTGGAAGGCAGGGCTTTCAGCGAGGGGTGAATTTCATTGGCCTTGTCAGGCGTGACTTTAGTTCTTCAATAGAAGTCGTGACTGTGTGACTCCCCATAGTTGGATTGTACCTCGTTTCCCTCCTTCAGGGAACAGTAGTTATAGTCATAACGTCACATTTGTGCGTGTGTTTGTGTGCGTGTGTGTAGGGAACCCAACCATCACCCCACGGCGTGTCCTGAGGTCTCAGTGGTTCCATGACCCATGGACCTGTGGCTCCTACACGTACACCGCTACTGGAACCTCACTGCAGGATATACACAACCTGGCTGAACCACTACCACAACAAGGGGAACAGGTACACACAGTTCATGTGGTTCAGTCTGTCATCTTATTACCCACTTTCTCGCTCATATATATTCTCTCCCTCATCTTCTCTCTCTCTCATATTCTCTCTCTCTCTCAGCCTCTCCAGGTGTTGTTTGCTGGAGAAGCCACCCATCCTTCCTTCTTCTCCACCGTCCATGGAGCGCTGCTTACTGGCTGGAGGGAAGCTGATAGACTCATATCTCACTACTCCACCCCCAGCACCTTCCAGCCAACCAGATCAAAGCTATAAGGAGAACAACTCACTCTTGTTGTGAAAGTGTTATATACTGAACAAAAATATAAATGCAACATGCAACAATTTCTAAGATTTTACTGAGTTACAGTTCGTAGAAGGAAATCGGTCAATTGAAATGAATAAATTAGGCCCTAATCTATTGATTTCACATGACTGGGCAGGGGTGCAGCCACCCACTTGGGGGCCAAGCCCACCCACTGGGGAGCCAGGCCCAGCCAATCTGAATGAGTTTTCCCCCCCACAAAAGGGCTTTATTACGGACATAAATACTCCTCAGTGACCTTTTATTGTCCCCAGCACAAGGTGCACCTGTGTAATGATCATGCTGTTAAATCAGCTTCTTTATATGCCACACCTCTCAGGTGGATGGATTATCTTGGCAAAGGAGAACTGCACACTAACAGGGATGTAAACAAATTTGTGCACAACATTTTAGAGATAAGCTTTTTGTGAATGGAACATTAATGTGATCTTTTATTTTGGCTCAAGAAACATGGGACCAACACTTTACATGTTGCGTTTATATTTACATTCAGTATAGCACTGGGTATATTATCCTTATGGACAGATCTAGGATCAGCTTACCCTCCACAAAACTGACCTTAAATCAGTGTGTAGGGGCAACTTGATCTTACTCCAAAGGGCTCCATATCTTTGACTCTGTCCAACGTGGGTTGATGTTCCCAGAACCTATGGCTACTGAACGATTAGTTGAGTATTATGATCTTCACCAAAGATTTGTTTTAGGAGATTGACGATTTTAAATAGTTTTGATTATTACTTAAATCAAATTAATTTGAAGCCACTCAGTCTCATGGTGACTGATTTTACTGTTATAAGTAGATTTAAACACCAATTGTTAATGATTTTAGATTTCAATGTTCACCATTACTTTCAGTGTTTTAAATGATTTTTAATGTAATGTTTATCACGCCTTAAATCTGTCCTCTTAAATACTGTTCATGTCAATAAAAAGATGTATTGCACAAAAACTTTAATAAAAAATGTTTTGTTCTCTCTCTCTCTAATATGTGTATGTGTGTATATATATATATATATATACACACACACACACACAGTGGGGAGAAGAAGTATTTGATACACTGCCGATTTTGCAGGTTTTCCTACTTACAAAGCATGTAGAGGTCTGTAATTTTTATCATAGGTACACTTCAACTGTGAGAGACGGAATCTAAAACAAAAATCCAGAAAATCACATTGTATGATTTTTAAGTAATTAATTATCATTTTATTGCATGACATAAGTATTTGATACATCAGAAAAACAGAACTTAATATTTGGTACAGAAACCTTTGTTTGCAATTACAGAGATTATACGTTTCCTGTAGGTCTTGACCAGGTTTGCACACACTGCAGCAGGGATTTTGGCCCACTCCTCCATACAGACCTTCTCCAGATCCTTCAGGTTTCGGGGCTGTCGCTGGGCAATGCAGACTTTCAGCTCCCTCCAAAGATTTTCTATTGGGTTCAGGTCTGGAGACTGGCTAGGCCACTCCAGGACCTTGAGATGCTTCTTACGGAGCCACTCCTTAGTTGCCCTGGCTGTGTGTTTGGGGTCGTTGTCATGCTGGAAGACCCAGCCACGACCCATCTTCAATGCTCTTACTGAGGGAAGGAGGTTGTTGGACAAGATCTCGCGATACATGGCCCCATCCATCCTCCCCTCAATACGGTGCAGTCGTCCGGTCCCCTTTGCAGAAAAGAATGATGTTTCCACCTCCATGCTTCACGGTTGGGGTTTAGACCAAAAAGTTATATTTTTGTCTCATCAGACCACATGACCTTCTCCCATTCCTCCTCTGGATCATCCAGATGGTCATTGGCAAATGACGGGCCTGGACATGTGCTGGCTTGAGCAGGGGGACCTTGCGTGCGCTGCAGGATTTTAATCCATGACGGCGTAGTGTGTTACTAATGGTTTTCTTTGAGACTGTGGTCCCAGCTCTCTTCAGGTCATTGACCAGGTCCTGCCGTGTAGTTCTGGGCTGATCCCTCACCTTCCTCATGAGCAGAGTGAAGGAAAAGCAGCCAACAAGTGCTCAGCATGTGGGAACTCCTTTAAGACTGTTGGAAAAGCATTCCAGGTGAAGCTGGTTGAGAGAATGCCAAGAGTGTGCAAAGCTGTCATCAAGGCAAAAGGTGGCTATTTGAAGAATCTCAAATATAAAATATAGTTTGATTTATTTAACACTAAGTTACAGCCTTATTTTAAAATGTATTAAATTATTATTTTTCCTCATCAATCTACTACAGACAATACCCCATAATGACAAAGCGAAAACAGGTTTTTAGAAATGTTTGCACATTTATTAAAAATAAAAAACAAAACTTATTTACATAAGTATTCAGACCTTTTGCTATGAGACTCAAAATGTAGCTCCGGTGCATCCTGTTTCCATTGATCATCCTTGAGTTGTTTCTACAACTTGATTGGAGTCCACATGTGTAAAATTCAATTGATTGAACATGATTTGGAAAGGCACACACCTGTCTATATAAGGTCCCACAGTTGACAGTGCATGTCAGAGCAAAATCCAAGCCATTAGGTCGAAGGAATTGTCCGTAGAGCTCAGAGACAGGATTGTGTCGAGGCACAGATCTAGGGAAGGGTACCAAAAAAATTCTGTAGCATTGAAGGTCCCCAAGAACACAGTGGCCTGCATCATTCTCAAATTGAAGAAGTTTGGAACCACCAAGACTCTTCCTAGAGCTGGCCACCCGGCCAAACTGAGCAATCGGGGGAGAAAGGCCTCGGTCAGGGAGACCAAGAACCCAATGGTCACTCTGAAAGAGCTCCAGAGTTCCTCTGTGGAGATGGGAGAACCTTCCAGAAGGACAACCATCTCTGCAGCATTCCACCAATTAGGCCTTTATGGTAGAGTGGCCAGACGGAAGCCACTCCTCAGTAAAAGGCACGTGAATGCCGCTTGGAGTTTGCCAAAAGGCACATAAAGGACTCTCATTCCATGAGAAACAAGATTGAACTCTTTGGCCTGAATTCCAAGCGTAAAGTCTGGAGGAAACCTGGCACCATCCCTACGATGAAGCATGTTGGTGGCAGCATCATGCTGTGGGGATGTTTTTCAGTGGCAGGGATTGGGAGACTAGTCAGGATCAAGGGAAAGATGAACAGAGCAAAGTACAGAGACATCTTTGATGAAAACCTGCTCCAGAGCATTCAGGACCTCAGACTGGGGTGAAGGTTCACCTTCCAACAATGACCCTAAGCACACAGCCAAGACAATGCAGGAGTGGCTTCGGGACAAGTCTCTGAATGTCCTTGAGTGACCCGGCCAGAGCCTGGACATGAACCCGATCTAACATCTCTGGAGAGACCTGAAAATAGCTGTGCAGCAACGCTCCCCATCCAACCTGACAGAGCTTGAGAGGATCTGCAGAGAAGAATGGGAGAAACTCCCCAAATACAGGTGTGCCAAGCTTGTAGCGTCATACCCAAGAAGACTCAAGGCTGTAATCGCTGCCAAAGGTGCTTCAACAAAGTACTGAGTAAAGGGTCTGAATACTTATGTAAATGTAATATTGTCATTTTGGGGTATTGTGTGTAGATTGAGGTGGGGAAAAAAACAATTTAATCCATTTTAGAATAAGGCTGTAACGTAACACATTTTTGAAAAAGTCAAAGGGTCTGAATCAGTGGCGGTTCTAGACCATTTCAACTTGGGGGGCCAAGCTGGGGCCAGTTGTACTGTTAGAGGGGCCAGTTACATTAGACATTATTGTTGTCATATCGTTTCCTTCACTGCATTGCAGGCATTAATAGGCAAAAGACCATGTTTATAATCATTCAACTATTTATTATTGGCACTTACATTACATTTTCACATTTGCACTACATATTCAGTAATCAGTTACATCAAATGTATTCTACGGTATTTGTGGTTTCTTGCAAAAAGATCAGCAAATTCATCTAGATTCAAGGCCTTTGCCCTCCTTGACTCAATACACCTAAATTGCTTAATCTCTCATCTGACATTGTGGACCTAAGATACGTTTTCACCAGCTTTAGTGCAGAAAAACTAAGTTCACAAGAAGCGGTACTAACAGGGATTGAAACAGCTATTTTGCACAGTTTAAAGAGCTCAAAGAAAATTCCTTTATAAGGCTCAATGAATAATGTTAGCTCTACTACACTGGAGGGTCTCTGCATGCCACTCTTTATTGTCCTTTGTAAAATTATTCTGAACTGATGTAGTTCATGCCCCAAGTCCTCAATATTTGATTCATACATTCTAGCAAATGGAAACGGGGACTTCTCTTTGAGAAATGCATCACTTTTGGGGTTTAGAGTTTGGATGCCGTTCATCATGTCACAGTTTTTGCTAGAGAACCGTCTGTTAAGCTCATTGAGCATCTGATCTAAGACAGGGTAGAAAAAGGTTGTCGAAAACTGTCTTCATTTCTGAATCTGACCTCTGACCGACTATACGGAGTACACAGTCTCCATTAAATTGAGAGCTTTTTTAGTCGTTTTGCAGGGGGCTGTATTGCAGTATCACATTGCTCAGCTGTGTTCAACACTTCATTCCATAGGTCATCAAAGAAATGACTCATCCCTGTAGTCATTCAAAGTTTGAACTAAGGCTTCAACTAAATCAACAGCCTTTGACAGGTCAAGTGATGAAGACTGTAGCATATCTGGTAGAAATGTTACTTCTCCAAAAACTTTATGGAGTGTAACAAGGAACACAATGAATTGTAAATCTATCTGTGCAAGCAGACCTCGTGCCTCAACAGATCTGTCACCGTTGTGTTCTTGGACTATGTCTTGCAGGACTCGCTTAATGGCAGGCAATCTATCCATAATAGTATGTAGAGCCATATATCGACATGCCCAGCGAGTGTCACTTAGTCTCTGAAGCTCTCTAGGTGCACCTGGGTACATCTCTCCTTGTATGCTAAGCCATTTTTTGATGCACATATGACCCAAATGTGAAGACATACAGTCTTTCTAGTAAGGAGAAGAACTGTCCTACTTCAGGGACAGCTTTGACTGTATCCACTAAAACTAAGTTTAGACAGTGTGCACTGCAGTGGATGTAAAAGGCATGCTTTGCTTGTTCTTTAATGTGTGCCTGGACGCCTGAATGCTTGCCACTCATAACTGAAGCACCGTCATATGCTTGGCCTACTAGGTTGTTTTTGTATTCAAGACCATGACTTTCTAATATGTGTATGATTTTGTCAGTAAGCCCTGCTGCATCTAGTCGATCAGCCAATTCAAAGTGGAGAAAGCTCTCATGGACAGCTCCACTGAAATAGTACCTGAGTGCTCCTTTTTTTTTTTTTACATATTTTGTTTCGTCTGCCATTATGCTAAAGACCTCAGTCTTTCACTTCTTCTATAATTTTTGTTCTTATCATGTCTGCCAAACAACTCAGAACCTCATTCTGAATCCCTTTGCTTGTGTATTTTGCATTATGAATTGAAGTCAACCTTTTTTTCACAGTTGTGTCATGCTTAGCTATTGTTTCTAGGATTGCCATGAAGTTCCCTTTATTATCAGACTCTGCAAACTCATCGTGTCCTCTTTGTGCAATGTTTTGTGTGGATGTAAGTAGTAGTACTTCTCCTATTGTTTTAATATAGTCCCGATTTTCTTGAACCTGTTTGTTGTGTTCCTTGTTTAGGGCATTTACCAGTTTTGCATGACTTTTTACAGCTTTCTGATAGTCTCTCCATGTAATCATTGCTTGTTTGTGCCGCTCATACCTTGCATGAATTGCAAATCCCCCCTCTTTGTAAGTTGCCTTCTTCCAGTTGTTAAAACCCAATTTTGAATCAAATACAGTCTCTGGGACTTTGGGAGGGCTAAAATGCCTGCAGGCGTAACAAAACACAGAGTCTGATTTTTTTGAATATTCAAGCCAGGGGTGGATGTGGTACCAGGCCGCCTTGAAGCTCCTCCTCCTGTCCCCCATCAGAGTTCTTGGGTACATGTTCATCACTGGCTGCACCGGTGGGTCCTCCCGGGATTTGCTGATATCTGTCGAAGAAAAAAACTATAATTAAAAGTATCCATTTGGGTAATTTTAGGCACATACCATAGCCAACAGACAACTTCTGAAATCCATCTGATATCTATATCACAAGCCAAATAGCATGTTAAATGAGATCATTCATTTCAATCATAAACCGACACATTTCTATACACCATTTAAACTGACTAATTGCACTGCTTTACAAGTAACCACATATTTATTCAACATCACAAACATGATGGTCCACTACTTGTGGACGCACATGGCTCCTCTGTTGGTGTCTCACTCTCAGCCTCTGTGTCCCCCTCAGCCTCAGTCTCTCCATCTGACTCACTTTCCTTCTCTACTATGCCTTCACTCTCAGTCTCTCCAATGGACAAGTCTTCCTGCTCCCTCTCTGCTCTCTCCACACCTGAACCCTCTGGCTCTGTCTGACTTTCTGCCTAGTCTTTTCTTTGGAAGAAGGACATTATGTCCTTTTTTCTCTTCATTTTGGTGAGAACTATAGAGCAAAAGCAATGGGGCCCAAGCTTATTAATTCATTTACTGAAAATAACTGACTTGCTAGGTAGCTAGCGTTCATGTCTAACCTTTTAACGTTACAATTTGTTTACTGAGTGTGGTTTAAGTAAAAGCACTCAGCGCAATTGCGTTTTTGAACAAATGTTATATCCTTTTTCATATTGCCATACATTTTCGATGCCTGACTGTTAGAATTAGCTACAAAACTCAACCAAAAACAATGCAAACGTGTTAGTGTTCAGCTTTGCCACTGTCTAATAACGGATTTTTAAAAAACATAAACAAAAACATGATTGCAAAAATTAATTATGTGATAATTATTTCAGACTCCGCATTTACGAGGGCCACAAGGGGGTCCAAGCTTGCTGTCACAGGGCCATTGCCACCCAAATAATTATTTTGTGCCTAAAGAATAATTGTAATGGCGGAACTCAATCACTGTGACACTAGAGAAAGTCGGGATGTAAACAGTGTAACACAAATGTGAACATGACTTCAGTAAAATGCTGTCAATGACAGAGGACTTCAGACCAATGATTTATATATACACATCATTGCTTCAAACACGTGAAAAAAAACTAATATAACAACAAATATGAGGCTTCATCAGATACTCCGCAATGCAGCAAACTTCAGGACGGTCTTTGACTTCGGCGACAGAGAGGTTGCTCACTGGTTCCCCGGACATATGGCCAAAGGTTGGTGAGCACTCTCAGCTAACGCAAACGTTAGTTAGCTAGGTATCTTTATGTCAGCTATATCTAGCTAAACGTGTGTAATTATCTTACTATGTGACATGACTTATTAGAGGTCACAAAATAAATACAGAATCCAAGAAAGCAAAAAGCTGGTTGAGAGAATGCCAAGAGTGTGCAAAGCTGTCATCAAGGCAAAGGGTTGCTACTTTGAAGAATCGCAAATATTAAATATATTTTGATTTGATTAACACCTTTTTGGTTACTACATGATTCCATATGTGTTATTTCATAGTTTTGATGCATTCACTATTATTCTACAATGTAGAAAATAGTTTAAAAAAAAAAAAAACTTTTCACTGGTACTGTAAGGCGCCTCGAAAAGGACACGAGGTGGTAGTAGTGCGGCGGCAGCTGTTTAAGGGGGGTCAGCCGCATCACTACCAGGTACCAGGGACTAATCTGAAATTCTTACTCGGAATGTATCCTGCCGAGCGGAAGGATACCATATTCGAGTGATCCAATAGCTCACATAACAGTGGTTACATACGTAACCTTCGTAAACCATGATGCCTGTGTAGCTCTCTTTTCATAATACGTGAAGGTTACAGTAACCCATCCTCCTCTCCTCTGGTCTCTCTTCAGGTCTGAAACAGATGAAGGCCAGTGTGAAGAATGTTGACTGCATCCTAGAAATCCACGATGCCAGAATATCCTTTAAGGGGCGTCTGCACTTCCTGATTTGGCATTGTTTTTCATCAATGCTCATTAAGAAATGCTAGGGGCCATGACTGAAGGCAAAGGAGAGTTGTCTTGAGGATGGGGTGTGATGTGGGTGTGTCTGTCATTCAATCACAACAAATAGGGCCAGTAGTGAGTACAGCGAGATAAACTAAGCTAGCTTTGCTATGGAGAAAACTACGTTTTTAAGTTGAGGACTTCTCCCCTCTCAAAATGCTCAGCAAATTCAGTAATGTGTAAGCTAAAGCCTGCGCTGACCTTGTGTAGGTAGCTAGCATAGGCAGCTAGCTAGCATAGCTTGGCGATAGCTGCAGCTGGCTATCTTATCTAGCTGATATTTCTCTGTCTAATCAGTTATGGCAAGAGCCTGTGTCTGGAATGTGTTTCATAAGACACTCGTTCTACAACACCTTGCTACGAAAGTAGCTTGCAACTTAGTTTCAACGTTTCATCACCTCATGTAAAATACATGTTACCATGGAAACGGTATCAACTGCAATTTGAATGCCTGGTCTTGAGTCATCTCAGCTGTCCTACAACACAATATTCTATAACTGGCTAGTTTTGTCTCGTCTCGTCTCTCCTTATGTCCGCTGTTAGATTTTTCCCGGGGGACAAATTTCAGAACTACTAATATCCCTACAACAGGTGTAGGCTACATGTGGACATTGCACAAACATCGCCCAGATTGAGAGTAGATACATTTATTAACTTAAAATCGATGAGTGTGTTTGTGTTACAAAGAAAAACATTTTATGCTGTAAATATATTGATGTGCCTATAAAGACAGTATGCCTACACTTACCTAGCAAACATAAAAAAGTTGTGTGTTGTTGTGAGTACAACTTCAACCAGAACTAGAATGTCATTCTAGTTGGCTATTTGGCCAAATCTAAGGATTTGGCTGTCTAACCACACACTTACATGCACAGCTCTCTGGGTGAGGTTCTGTTTTCAAGTCTCCAGTGGGTGATTAAGTCCCTTCCATCTATGTAATGTATTACAGGTTATGTTCAGATGACAGAAAGGGTGCATGACACTCCATCCTGGATTTGACAGAGTTTGTTATGGCAGAATATCTACATAAGTTTAGCAATTGCAATTGCACTCTTCTCATACCACTCTGTAGGCTACTGACCAATTCAAAGCTCCCTCCAGGAGGAAGCTTTGCATCAGTCAGTAGACTAGAGAGTAATATGAGAAGAGTGTAATTGCAATTGCTAAACTTATGTAGATATTCTGGAACAGTTCCATGTAGAATAAACCATACTTCACACAATACTGTAGAAGCAGTATTCTGCTAATATAACAATGGGCGCCAGTACCCCTTACAAGTCTTCTGATGTAAACTACTGAGGTCCCGAAAACTTTTCTGCCACAATAATGTCCAGTTTCTTTGACACTTGAGACGTACAGTTTATAACTGTTGCAATGAACCACAAAATCCACCTTTTTAACACATAGGCAGTGGCGGTCGTGCCATTTAAGATGAGGGAGGACAATATATTTTTTTATGAGCATGTCCTTTTTTCTATTACAGCATATTGGATGACTGTCATTCATATTACTACATGATACTACACATTTTCCCTATGCCCATAATGAGGTTGCTACAACCTAGCCTACATCGTTGTCACCATATTATAACATCATAATATCATAGTCAACATAGCTACTAGAACTAACGCTTTAGTAAACCTGCTACAATCATGCAGTACAGTGTACATTCAGCAATAACTTTATCAGTTACACCGGCGGGCCCTTGTTGCAATAAATTAATAAAACCAAAAGCTTACCTTGACTTGGAAGAGTTCCAGTGATGGATAGCCATAGCCAGCTAGCTAACATAGCATCCCTCTCTGTTTGAGCCGGGTGTTTGAGTAGGCTAAACTAGCTAGCTGCATTTGCTAGCTAAGAAAGTGAAAGTAAATATATATATAGCTAGCTCTCTCTCTTGCTTGTCCTTAATTTTCAAAGAAATGATTTTGTTCCAAAATGTTCAACTATTGTTTCTCTCTCTTTGAGTCAACTACTTGTCGTGGAAATTACCACCAGGTACACCTGAAGTCAATATTAAAGGAATCATTCATTATTATCAGCAAGCTGGAGATGTTCCAACAAACTTAATGATAGTACACGCTGGTCGGGAGCTCCGCCGGGGCAGTCCCGTTAGTTCTCTAATATACTGCTTACACAGACAAGTTATATTTGCACGATTTAGCTTATTCATAATTAATTCAACATTAACATTTGGTTCATGCATGTGACCGACCAATACCTCACGAGGCTTCTTCTCTCCAAGTTGAGACCTTGAAACTGAGATATCCCTTTCGGTTCTCAAAACAATGTTCTGGGCGTACTGCCAAATTGCTTATACTGATAGTGAGGATTCCTCCCAGGCACGATCAGTCACTTGCATGAACCCAGTCGAATTGGTTATTAGAAAAGGACAAACACATTTTTTTTTCTTCACAATCCCTCTTATCACTCTGTGATAATTATCGTAACATTTTAAGATAAGCATTAGATTATAGCTTCTATCAAAATGAGGTTCTATACTTCTATTAAAGTAAGCGAAATCAACACATAAAACCAGACACTTCATCCTTTCAAACTCTTCACTCTGGTTTGTACAATCTAAAATACACACAAGTGATCTGTAGACTCCGATGGTTTCTTACCTATAAAATCATTGCAGTAGAATGTTTTTACTTAAGACCTTCGCTTCATACAGTTACACATATGCTTCATTACACAATTTCATTCATGGATTCTGGCAATGACATTTCAGCTGGAGGTTTTGTTGCGAGTGGCATGTTAATGACAGATCGGTATCTCAATGCATTTTTTGTCTAAATTACTATACATTTCACAGTGTGCAGACCTCCACAATCAACCTGATACCCCAAATAAACAATTTTGGATAAGCCTAAATCAATTACGGGCACGGTTGACCACCCCGCTCCCTCCCGGCACTCATTCTTCTGGCTTTTCTTCTTCAGATAGTGTTTCAGTTCGTCCTCCCAATGGCACATGTTCGAAGTGGATGGCCCTTGAAAATGTCCTGATTTCAATATCTGGGGAATAATCTGATTTTCCCAAGCATACAAATCTCTCACCTGAGCCGCCACTGTCCTTTACGGCCCATTATGTCTTGTCCGTTTTCCTACCAGTACACCAACAGCATGTGAGAAGTTTGGATGGGATCTCTCTCCATGCTCACTCCACGTGGACTCATGTCGTACTCCTGAGAGAACAGGCATGAGAGAAAAGGCAGTTGATAGCTTCGACTGGATGCTGTTCACAGGTTTCTGGCTCGGACACAGGAGGACATGGCCATTGTCGCAATTACTTTGAATTATCCCTTCCATGCATCTACATACCATCTGTGGTCACCTTCACCATAACCTCGAGAGAAGACAGACCATAACAACAGTTTAGTTTAGGGCATTTCTGATTTCAGGAAATCCAGACAAACTATTCACTGTATGACAAATTATTACTTATACCAATATTCTTAATACAAATTTCTAAGACCAATGTCAATGAGAATAACAACACACAGTTGAAACTTTTTTTGCAAATTGGCTTATACTCCCCTATCATCTTTGCGATCTCACCGCAGAGTTACAGGGTCAGGGAGTTGGAGGGCTAATCCTTAGGGAGAAATCCTGACCATCCAGCATACCCAATCTGGTGAGATTTGTATTGAAGCAAGACAAAAACAAAACAAACAAAACAACAATACACACAAAGTACTTAATAGTAATAATATCTCTTATCTACATTTCAATCATTTTATTATCCACATTTCAATCAGTGTAACACGTTCCTTTCCACACAACTCTCACATCCACATTCACTTAGTACTATTCCCAAACACACTCAGTAATCTCCCTTATTACTCCATGTCCGTCTTCAACGATTCTCTTGTCGTTACTTCCTATGCACCATATGTATCTTCAACGGATCTCTTGCCGCTACATATAAAATAACACCTTGTGCTATTAGCAGTGGCTACAGACCACTTAGACACTTCTAATAAATGCCTACAGACAGCTGTCAGCTGGGCATTCCCATGGTACCGTTACTTGCCCTCACTCTCTAGTCTTCTCTATAAGACAAGCTCTAGACTTCTTAAGACTAGTGGTACCTTTTTATGTTTAGTTTTATTATTTTTATATATATATATATATATATATATATATTTCAAAAAATATATACAAATTCATTTAAATTGACTTACTGAAATTCAGTTGCCGTGTCCCTCAATTGTTCGTGGATGATGTGTCTCCTCCTGGGCAGCTCACAGTAAGGGTCTGGTCTGGGCGGGTCCTCGTCGTCTTTTAGTCAGATGGGAATTTCCCTCACGCTTCATAAAATGCGCCACCGATTTTCCTCACAGACCCTCACTGGAAAGCTCTGCAGGCAGAATCAACCATCCTTTTCGTGACGCCAAATTGTTGTGGAAATTACCACAAGGGACACCTGAAGTCAATCTTAAATTAATAATTCTTTATTAACAGCAAGCTGGAGAGCTTACTTCAGATCGGTACTTTATGTGTGGAAGTATGACTGTGTCATCTCCAGCTTGCTGTTAATAAAAAATTATTCATTTAAGGTTGACTTCAGGTATCCCTGGTGGTAATTTCCACGACAAGTTAATCTTACATAACCAAAATTAACATGCGTAGGTAGATCTTTATAAAAAATAAAAAACAGGACCAAAATACTTTCCTCCTTTTCTTCATTCACCCAGCGGGTAAGGTGCCGGGCACCAACCAGGGTTGGAATTCTCTTCAGGTATTCAATGTTAACATCCCACACATCATCCTCTGACGTGCTACATCATATAACACGTTAGCTTGATGTATTTAGCTAGCTACAGTATCATTCCCCTTTAATCTATGGTATCATAGATAGCCTGGCTCGCTAGCATTATCAAATAAGGTTGTATAACCAAAAGTAGCTACTAGCTAGCTAATACCAGCTATCTACTTAGCTAACATACTCACCAACACCAGTGGTTTGACGGTTGACAGGCAGCAGAAGTGTCCATGTCAGTTGTAATCCATTCCTGGCCATCTGGCAATATTGTTGAAATGCATTGGAAGTTTGAACCAACTTTATGGAAGACCATTTTCACTCCTATTTGCCAAGTGAAATGTGTGTGCGTTGCACCCATATGCAGACTTGACAACAAATGTCCACATGGCAGCTGGGGATGGACCACAATGTGTTGTCTCTGGGCAATTGGGCATCATTGGTAAAAGTGGGCATGTAAGTAATCCATACCCAACCCTCCAGTTAGTCATGACGAACTCACATAAGACTGACTTTATGCCCAAAATGGTCAATTTTGACACTATAATGAATGTTTATGACTCATATCGATGCCACATATGCCGTTTAAAACCAGAGAAGTTGGTTCTAAGGGGCAGTTGACCTTTAATAGGTTATATTGTGGCATGCATCGCCTGCCCTACCTTGCCCCATTACCCTCTGATGCACTCACATCACCAACCACGGTTGCGGGATGAGTCGCCTTGCCTGAGACCAGAATAATTGCATTAGCTCCCAAACGAATTACCTTAGCTCAGTGGGTTAACACAGTCTTGCACAACTTTCTTTAACAGTAGAACATCCCGTTCTCAGGTAGAAACCCTCTTTTCAAGGATAGTCTGGACGTCAGACCTCATCTCCTTGTGCTGAACAAGATGGACCTGGCTGACCTGTCTGCCAAGCATGTAGGCTACTGTAGCAGATCATTGTTTTGTTTCTGTAATCTGGATGCCAGTCTGTTTCTGTTGATGCATGACAATGTCAAAGAAATTGGATAACTGACTGGCATCCAGGCTGGTTGTTTTGTGTTTCTCCAGACAGACCTGTGTGAGTGTATATGGCCAATCATGCAGTAGTTTAATCGGAATGGCCTCTATATAATGACTTGAGACAGAGAGTCCAGTGCAGCGCTGTATGTAGTCCTGATCCAGATCTGAACGTTTTGCTCTCCAGATGATTTTGAAACAGCTTGAAAGACATGGAGTGAAGAACATCCTGTTCACAGACTGCCTCAGACAGAGAGATGACAATGTCAAAAAGGTAAGAGAGACAGAGAGAGATGGGAAGAACATAAAAAAGGGAGAGCCTGTGAGATCCTTAAAGGAAAAATCCACCCAAAACTACACATTTCTCAAGGTAGGAATATCGCAAAAATATGATTCCAGAGAAGACAAACTCTTGCGTTATGACATCGGCCAGTATTGAAATCTGACTGTATATGATGGACGTTTTCGCGATCTAAAAGTTTTATCGCAATGCTACGTCAAACCAGACGAGTTTCTGCCTGCTTGAACGGCAATAGCTCAGATACACATGAAATGACCCCGGGAATCGATAGAACATCGCTCAGAGATGCACAAAAACAATATAACATTCAAAATGGGTGAATCTTTCCTTTTAAGAAAGGGTGACTTTGCAATGTGGTTATAACAGTTCCACAGAAGACTGAGTTAGTAACATTGTGACAGCGCTCTCCTACTCTGTTAATCTTCCTGTCTGTTGTTGCAGCTGGTTCCCATGGTCACAGAATTGATCGAGAGCCAGCCACGCTTCCACCGAGAGGAGGTGAGTTCACGGCCAATAACTGATTGATGATTGATTGATTGGTTTAGATTTTGTGTTTAGAAAAAAACGAATGTGTAGTATAGGCCTGCGTTCAGTCCTAGACGATAACAAATGAGAGTTTTACTACCCTAAATTCCAGTGCATTTGGTTGTCAGTTTGAAGTTACGTTGGTGTGTCCAGTCTCCTTTCCATCCTCCTGGAATGCCTCCTGGACACCATCGGACTCTCTGGACCAGACCAGCCCTGAGCTTGTTTTTCAATTGCAGTGTGCCACAACTATCCAGTTCATTCTGTTTACCCTCGGCCTTGTCATCAGCCGGAATGAAATCTCATTCCACTGCTATGCTGATGACACAGCTGTATCTGAAAACTTCCCCAAGTCCCTCTGCTCATCTTAACACCTGTCTTGAGGAGATAAGGGCTTGGATGAAGCAAAACTTCCTTCAACTCAACAGCATCAAAACCGAGGCTGTACTTGTTGGCACCCCTCACCAGGTCCAGCACTCACCCGTAACCCACCTCACAGGCAAGAACATCCCTCTCTCATCCAATGTTCCAATATGGGCATTAGGCTTGACTCCTCTCTAACCTTCGACAATCACATCAAACATCTGTGCAAAGCATCGCTCTATCACCTCAAGCACATTGTCAAACTCCGTCCCACCCTTACTCAGTCTGACGCAGAGAGGCTCTTCCATGCCTTTGTCGCCGCAAGGCTGGACTACTGCAATGCACTGTGCACTCTTCACGGACACTGTGGTGAAGAAGGCACGACAGCGACTCTTTAACCTCAGGAGGATGAAGAAATTTGGCCTGTCCCGAGTGCCCTCACAGTGTTCTACAGGAGCACCATCGAGAGCATACAGTCGGCCTGCATCACAGCTTGGTACGGCAACTCCACTGTCGCTGACCGCAAGGCACTACAGATAGTGGTACGCTCAGCCGAACGCACCATTGGGTGCACACTGCCTGCCCTCCAGGACACCTACAATACCACGGCCTGTTCTCCCAGCTTCCATCGCTCGGACGTGGGCAGTACAGGAGCATCATGGCTAAAACTAAGACTGGCCAATAGCTTCTACCCCCAGACCATCAGGCTGCTGAATAGCCACCACTAGTCAGCTACCTGCTCCCCCTGTCCCCCCCCTACCCCCTGGCTGCTCCCCATTTGGACATTTCCCGCCCCTCAACAGACCTCTACCCGCAACCTAAGATTGAGCGATATCCTGCTCCGCCACTCCCCCAGGACTAAGCTTCACTCCATGGGGGATCAGGCTTTTTGCTCAACCCAGTGTTAATTTTGGCACTCTTTTTTTAGATTTAGTCTAGTCATTCCTAGTCACATTGTTGTCATTTGAATAATGATTTAGTCTACTTATTTACAAAATTATAAACAGTGGGCCATTTTAGTCAACTAAATGCCCTTTCGCTTTAGTCACATTTTAGTCTCATCACATTTGTATGGTGTCATTAACTTATAGTAAACATAAATCACTGACTTCCATGTGCACAAACATAGCCTTGTCCTACCAACATCCTTTCCAACAGCAGAAATATGAAACACACATACACTACCATTCAAAACACCTCAATTTTTCCCAGTTTCTATTAAAATTCACACAGTTTAATGTCTTAATGTAATCTGAAATTAAAGCATAGAACAAATAAACAATTGGAGACAAAAAAAAGAAATCATGGAATCGTTTTGTTTAACCAAATGTAATCTACATTTCTGACTCATCAAAGTAGCCACCTTTTGCAGACGTAACAGCCGAACACACTCGTGGCATTCTTTCTACAATGGAAATCAAATATTGTTTGGAAAGTTCTTCCCAACACATTTACATTTTAGTCATTTAGCAGACGCTCTTATCCAGAACGACTTACAGTTAGTGAGTGCATACATTTTCATACTGGCCCCCCGTGGGAAACGAACCCACAACCCTGGCGTTGCAAGCGCCATGCTCTACCAACTGAGCTACAGGGGATTGCAGAAGTTCCCACAAATGTGTTGCACTTGTAGGTTGCTTTGCTTTCACCCTTCTGCCAAGTTCATCCCAAACCAGTTCAATGGGGGTTAAGTCTGGAGACTGTGCTGGCCATTCCATGATTTGAAGCCTACCGTCTTGTTCTTTTCTGACAGCCTGGAGGTGTGTTTTGGGTCATTATCTTGCTGTAGGAACCCCTGACCAATTAGGCGTATACCAGATGGTATTGCATGGCGCTGCCAAAATGTAGGTAGCCGTTTTGGTTGAGGGTGCCACTCACTCTGTGCAAGTCGCCGACTCTCGATCCAGCAAAAGAGTCCCTGACCATCACGCTTCCTCCTCCATGTTTGACAGTTGGTGTCACACACTGAGGAACCATCCTTTCTCCTACTCGACGGCGTACAAAAACCCTGCGTGATGAACCGAAGATTTCATGGCCCAGGCAAGCCTCTTTTTCTTATTTTGCCATCTTAGCAATGGCTTTCTTACTGCCACTCCACCTATCAAACCTGCAGCTCCAAGTCTTCTCTTCACAATTGAAACTGAGACTTGCTTACTTCGACCAGTGTTAAGCTGGGCTTGAAGCTGTTGTCTTGTGAGCCGCCTATCACACAAGCTGTTGACTCTCAGAAACTTGTCTTCTGATTCTGTTGTTGCTTTGGGTCTGCCAGACCTCTTCCTGTCAGTTTCCTCCAGTTTCCAAGTGCCTTTTGATGGTGTAGGACACCTTGGCTTTCTTTGCAATTTCTCTGAAGGAAAGACCTACACTTTTAAGGGTTATAATGGTCTGTCTGTCTTCCTTTGTTAATTGCCTTTTTCTCGCCATTAGGATAGCAATATATGACTTGCTGCAGTACAATACTGTCCAAATAATGCTTAAGAGGGTGTAGTAACACAGTCTGTTCCAACACTGCTTTTATACAGACAGAGGGTTTGTAAGTAATCAACAACAGTTGGGACACCTGTAGGAATTGTTAGCATAAATTTTCAAGGCTTAATTTACTTCCATTGCTGCAGAACAGCTGTAAGTTGTTAACCCATTACTTGTTCCCTGAAAAATGCCTTTTTTTATAACTCTGAAATGTACATTATTTTTCAGCTTTTGGTAACCTAAACATTTTTTTTTTTTTACCTCTGGCAGCTTACCGCTTACTTTTGTACCATTTCAGGTTATTCACTGGATTTTAACTGTTTAAATTTCAATAAAAACTGGAAAAATGGGGGCGTTCTAAAACCTTTGACCGGTAGTGTATAACAAACAATTATCTGGCCATTAAATTCCTATTCAGCCTACATAGAAATTGCACATTACATACAAAACAAACAGACACACACAAGCACAGAGAGAGAGAGAGTAGCACAATCACCAGATGATCCCACAAAGTATTGGCAAAGTAGTATGGGTTGCACTTCCATCACTCGGTAGCGTCATTGCCATTGTTATGAACGTTCCAAAATGTTGCGTCCTGCTGAAGCTAGTTAATGAGGTAACATGACTGAACAAGGTGTAGTCTAAACAAATGGCGAATGGTCCGGTCCACAAGTATCCTAGTTTTAGAACGGCCCACGATATGCTTTATGAATGTAAAATGTGGCCCGCCAATGCACTATAGAAAATAACCTAGTGCCGTTATTATGGGTCATATCTTTTGAACGGTAATGGCTAGAATCTATACTCACAGGAGAAAAAAAACATAGCTAGACTGTTGTTGTACTATTAAACTTAATGCTGCTATTGTTTTTAATTTTGTAAAGCAGCTTGTGTTTCTTAACCAGGCAAAGGGTAGCTAACTAGAAGGCTAGTGGTGACACGTTAGCTACGGGGAGAGTGCGATGTGTGTAATCGGAGGCAGAGCCGGAGTGGAGCCTATCTGCACACACTCACCGCTTGCTCCCCCGCAGCTCACCAGCTGATGTAGGCTAGGCTGTGTGCCGGGTGTGGCGCGTCCTTCCCACTGCTGAACAGAACTGCACATCTGTGCTGGTAATATTAATTGTGCTCGTCACTGAAAAGCTCTCAAGCTCTTGTCCAGTCCACTTAGTTGTCCGATTTTAGTCACAGAGATAATTCCGTCTCGTTTTAGTCAACTGAAATGCGGAAATGTTTTTGTTTAGTGTTAGTTTTTTCTGGGTCTATTTAGTCAGTTATAGTCTCGTCAATTGCCACTGAAAAATAGGTGTTTGACGAGTATTTTTGTCACTATTGTTGTTGACGAAATGAACACTGGCTCGACCGCCCCCCATCTCTGGAATGCACTCACGGACCACCTGAAGGCACCACAGACTCTGGGCTCCTTTTAAAACTGGCCTAAAAACCACTCTCTTTAGAAAGGCCTTCTGTTAGTTATAGCTGTGTTCCTTGGTGTCTTTGTCCTTGTAGCGTCAGCTGTGTTCTTTGTGTCAGTTGCCCTGTCTAGTTGTGTCCTTATTTTGTCTCTCTTGTTTTATAAATTTTTATGCACTCCATATAGCACTTTGAGATTGTTTTTCAATGAAAGCGCATTACAAATTCAATGTATTATTATTATTATTATTATTATTATGATGATTTACAAATTCACTTCAATCAGTAATTAGAAGTTAGGCTGTTACAGCACCCTGTGTATCATGGCTGAAGGTGATGTAATCATCATTATGTTACAGTTCTGACCTGCGTCTGACCAGAACGTTTGTTGTGTTCCACATAATTGTTACTGTCATGAGGACTGTATGGTGAATAGAGGGGGTTAACAACACTCTTTATGTGGTCTGAATGTGGTTACGGTCATATTATGTGGTCATGTTATGACGTGTGTTTATTCAATGTTCAGAACACCAACTTCTGTCTGATGGTGATTGGGGTGCCCAACGTTGGAAAGTCATCACTCATCAACGCTCTGAGGAGAACCAACCTCAAGAAAGGTACAATTTAACGTTACAATGAGCTATTGGGATTAGGAGAATTCCTTGTGGTTCGGATAGTTTTGTCATGTGCATTTCATTGAACCCTTGTTGAAGTAATGATGATCCATCTTGTTCTACCTTTAGGTCGGGGGTCAAAGGTAGGAGGGGAACCAGGCATTACCAAAGCAGTGTTGACTAGAATACAGGTGAGTGATGGTTTCACCTGTCTGCGCTCCTCTCACTTGTCTGTTTTTGTGTATATTCAGTACTTACTCAATATGTGTGTGTGTGTGTGTGTGTGTGTGTGTGTGTGTGTGTGTGTGTGTGTGTGTGTGTGTGTGTGTGTGTGCGCGCGTGTGTTTGTGTGTTCCTCGCGTCAGGTGTGTGAGAGACCCATCATCCATCTACTAGATACGCCTGGTGTCCTTCCTCCAAAGATACAGAGTCTGGAGACGGGCATGAAGCTAGCCCTATGTGGTGAGTCTAGAGACTAGATCTGGTCAATGATGTATAGCCTCTTTCCATGACATAGACTGACCAGGGGAATCCAGGTGAAAGCATGATCCTTTATTGATGTCACTTGTTAAATCCACTTCAATCAGTGTAGATGAAAGGGAAGAGGCGGGTTAAAGAGATAATTGAGACATGGATTGTGTATGTGTGCCATTCAGAGGGTGAATGGGCAAGATAAAAGATGTTAGTGCCTTTGAACGGGGTATGGGAGTAGTTGCCAGGCACACCAATTTCAGTGTGTCAAGAACTGCAACGCTGCTGGGTTTTTCACGCTCAACAGTTTCCCGTGTGTATCAAGAATGGTCCACCACCCAAAGGACATCTAGCCAACTTGACACAACTGTGGGAAGCATTGGCGTCAACATGGGCCAGCATCCCTGTGGAACGCTTTTGACACCTTGTAGAGTCCACGTCCCAACAAATTGAGGCTGTTCTGGGGGCAAAAGGGGGTGCAACTTAATATTAGGAAGGTGTTCCTAATGTTTTGTACACTGCGTCTATTACGTGTGACGTTCTGAACCCACCCTGTCTCTGTATCACATGGTAATACAGTGCCACCTAGTGGAATCTAATATAACAACCGCCACGCTCCTATGGGCCTCTCACACTATATGGATACAATATGAACCTTCCAATGCTCTCAATCATATGACAATCAAAGCACTGTGTGTGAATTATATGGCAGCCCTTTGACACAGTGACTCCACATCAAGCCATATGATTATCAGCAGGACATACAGTATGGCCGTTGTAATGATGACTCCCTCTGCTGTTACTGTCAGGAACCATCCTGGACCATCTAGTAGGAGAAGACATCATGGCAGACTACCTACTGTTCTCTCTCAATAGACTGGAGAAGTACAGGTGAGGGTTCACAGCTTTCCTGCCTCTATAATATAACATGACCAGTCCTCACTGGCCATTTTTATTTGGCACCATTGTTTGCACCAAGCATTGATTCCAATATGGTATATTGCAGCGACATTGAATCCATTGAGTTACTCAAAAGTGATGTGAATGTTGCTGTGTTTAGTAACGTTGAGAGTTGAGGGTTTCTCTGTGTCTAGTTACATGAAGAGGTATGACGTGTGTGTGTGTGTGTAGTTACGTGGAGCGGTATGATCTTGGGGAGCCTAGTGATGACATCCAGCAGGTGTTGAAACGTATCGCTGTCAAACTGGGAAAGACTCAACGAGTTAAAGCCATCACTGGAGTGGGTAAGAGTAAACCATATCATACTAAATACACTGCTCAAAAAAATTAAGGGAACACTAAAATAACACATCCTAGATCTGAATGAATGAAATAATCTTATTAAATACTTTTTTCTTTACATATTTGAATGTGCTGACAACAAAATCACACAAAAATTATCAATGGAAATCAAATGTATCAACCCATGGAGGTCTGGATTTGGAGTCACACTCAAAATTAAAGTGGAAAACCACACTACAGGCTGATCCAACTTTGATGTAATGTCCTTAAAACAAGTCAAAATGAAGCTCAGTAGTGTGTGTGGCCTCCACATGCCTGTATGATCTCTCTACAACGCCTGGGCATGCTCCTGATGAGGTGGCGGATGGTCTCCTGAGGGATCTCCTCCCAGACCTGGACTAAAGCATCCGCCAACTCCTGGACAGTCTGGTGCAACGTGGCGTTGGTGGATGGAGCGAGACATGATGTCCCAGATGTGCTCAATTGGATTCAGGTCTGGGGAACGGGCGGGCCAGTCCATAGCATCAATGCCTTCCTCTTGCAGGAACTGCTGACACACTCCAGCCACATGAGGTCTAGCATTGTCTTGCATTAGGAGGAACCCAGGGCCAACCGCACCAGCATAAGGTCTCACAAGGGGTCTGAGGATCTCATCTCGGTACCTAATGGCAGTCAGGCTACCTCGGGCGAGCACATGGAGGGCTGTGCGGCCCCCCAAAAAATGCCACCCCACACCATGACTGACCCACCGCCAAACCGGTCATGCTGGAGGATGTTGCAGGCAGCAGAACGTTCTCCACGGCGTCTCCAGACACGTCTGTCACATGTGCTCAGTGTGAACCTGCTTTCATCTGTGAAGAGCACAGGGCGCCAGTGGCGAATTTGCCAATCTTGGTGTTCTCTGGCAAATGCCAAACGTCCCCCACCTGTGGACGTCGGGCCCTCATACCACCCTCATGGAGTCTGTTTCTGACCGTTTGAGTAGACACATGCACATTTGTGGCCTGCTGGAGGTCATTTTGCAGGGCTCTGGCAGTGCTCCTCCTGCTCCTCCTTGCACAAAGGCGGAGGTGGCGGTCCTGCTGCTGGGTTGTTGCCCTCCTACGGCCTCCTCCACGTCTCCTGATGTACTGGCCTGTCTCCTGGTAGCACCTCCATGCTCTGGACACTACGCTGACAGACACAGCAAACCTTCTTGTCACAGCTTCATTGATGTGCCATCCTGGATGAGCTGCACTACCTGAGCCACTTGTGTGGGTTGTAGACTCCGTCTCATGCTACCACTAGAGTGAAAGCACCGCCAGCATTCAAAAGTGACCAAAGCATCAGCCAGGAAGCATAGGAACTGAGAAGTGGTCTGTGGTCACCACCTGCAGAACCACTCCTTTATTGGGGGTGTCTTGCTAATTGCCTATAATTTCCACCTGTTGTCTATTCCATTTGCACAACAGCATGTGAAATGTATTGTCAATCAGTGTTGCTTCCTAAGTGGACCGTTTGATTTCACAGAAGTGTGATTGACTTGGAGTTACATTGTGTTGTTTAAGTGTTCCCTTAATTTTTTTGAGCAGTGTATATAGTAAAACTGTATTTACTATGTAAATAGTATTTACATATTAATTTACATAGTAATTGCAGAGTAATAGTACAGTTCTTACTACTATTACAGGGTCAGGTTTTAGCATCGAGAAATTTATACTTGCCTTATTAAAGGCGCTTGTTAGCTAATGGTGTGTGTACCTAATCTCTGTGTTCCCTAGGTAACATCACCCTCACAGTACCTAACTACACAGCAGCAGCCTATGATTTCATCAGATCTTTCAGGAAGGGAGAGCTGGGACGGGTCATGCTGGACTGACCACAAGCTCTACCACACCACAGACTGACCACAACTACAACACAGACTGACCACTACCAACAACACAGATGATTGGTCTGGCAGGCACACCCTACTCAGACTCAGGAGTCTGGTCTCTCACCATAGAGCTCTACCTGACAGAGACCTTGTTGGAAACTCAAGAGTGCAGGTATCCTCTCTACAGTAGACTGGTTTCTTGTCTCTGCTTTCTAGTCTCTGCTCTCTAGTCTCAACCAACACAGAGCAGCTGATCAGTAAGAATGCCGACACTGTTGTTTGTACATAATGTGTTTATGTATCTGTTACAGTGTAAATGCACACAATCATAATAAAATGTATTTTATGTACAGTATCTTGATTGCACGACTCTTTTGAATGGGATTGTACAGTATCGGGCGAGGGGAAAGTGCTTTGGGAAGGGCGTAGCGGGTTAGGGTTAGGGGGTTGATTTGGGATTGGGCGTGGCAGTTTGTAGAGTTCCATTCAGGTTTGGGGTCAATTACATTTCAAAATTGTGAAATAATTGTGTAGCTAGCAGTCGTCACTCATTCATAGGAACAATACAACTATTGCTGACACAGTCATGGAAGGTCAGTGTCTAAGAACTTACAGGTGTTAATTAGCCTGCTGGGGTATTGTCATAGATGTTTACTAATAAAAGCCACATATTTAAGTGTATACAGTTCACAATGTATGCTAGCGATCCATTTTATATATAACTCTGTCTGCATATGAAAATAAAGCTTCTTAGGTGTATGAGAGAGATTAGTAGTTAGTGAAAATAACTGTTCAATGAAAATCACATTTTAAAAAGCTAATTCTGTACACTCATATCTAAATAATGATGTTGACTCACCAAAAACCCAGCCTCAAACTTGTATCTGAAAGACAGTTTCAAAAATGCTTGCTATTTCCGGATAATATGTGACCTCACATACTTTGGCAAGACGTCTGATTGGCTCATTGGCTGAGCTGAAAAATCAGATGTTTACTTGTAAGGAATATTTATAATAACCAGTATACGCCCACACCACACCCACACCATTCTGTTGTTTGTGAACAGGACAAGCAGGGGTACACAGAAAAGCTGCTTTTTAACATACTTTATTGTAATTCATTATTAGGTAATATTTCATTAAAATCTGGAACACTGGACAGCTACTGAGACTAAGTGAGAGATTTTTCCCACAAATCATGTGATGCTGACTTGTCAATGCTCCTTTTAACCTATACATTTGAGTTCCCACCAATGTCTGGCCATCCTGACTAATGTCCCTGATGCTAACATAGCGTTGCCTCCCCAGGGCAGGATAGCAGACCTGTAGAACAAGCCACAAGGCTCCTCTACATGTATGCTGATTATTTAGCTTTATTAATCCATTAATATTATATAACTAATTTACTCATCTAAAATATATTCTCGAAGACATAAACATATCTGAGGAATACCGTGGCGAAGATGATGACAGAGAAGATATGTGAGAGTAAAGGTTGGTTCTGATTGGATCCTGACACTGGTCATTTAGCAAACGGTCCTGTTATCCTCCCCATCGCAATCCGAGTTGACATGACTGCACCGGTAGGCCGAGCGGAATAATCTATCAGCCGTTAATGCAATCGCCGCACCAGCTGCCTCCGCGCTCGCCACATGTACCGAGGAAGAGCGCCGGGGCATGGTCTTGAACCAGACTTTTGTTGAATGGGTCCTGGTCCGGAAACGGTCGCTGCTACGAGACGAGCCCTTTCCCTCCACTCCTCCATCTCAATAGTCTACAAAGACTTCATCCCCACTCATCCATTTCAATACAATACTGCGACTTCCTCTCCACTCCTCCATCTCAGTAGTCTACAATGACATCCTCTCCTCTCCTCCATCTCAATAGTCTACGGTGGCTTCCTCTCCTCTCCTCCATCTCAATAGTCTACGGTGGCTTCCTCTCCACTCCTCCATCTCAATAGTCTATGGTGGCTTCCTCTCCTCTCCTCCATCTCAATAGTCTACGGTGGCTTCCTCTCCTCCTTTCCTCTATCTCAATAGTCTACAGCGGCTTCCTCTCCACTCCTCCATCTCAATAGTCTACGGTGGCTTCCTCTCCTCTCCTCCATCTCAATAGTCTATGGTGGCTTCCTCTCCTCTCCTCCATCTCAATAGTCTACGGTGGCTTCCTCTCCTCCTTTCCTCTATCTCAATAGTCTACTGTGGCCTTTGCTTCCACCTATCCTGTTATTTTACATCAGAACAGTTGTAGGAATAGAGACGCGGAGAGGAAGCCACTTTAGATTATTGAGATCATCGGCGTCGTTAGGGGTGGGCTTCCGGGACTGCAGCACTGAATATTTTTGGTCCAGCCTGAACCTTTTGAAGGACGAAGAATTGTGAAATTGCAGTCTGTACAAAAAACGGCACGTGTGCTTTAGGACCGTGTTGACGCCTCGGAATGGGCGGGCAGGCTGTTTGACTCTGTACGCAGTGGTTTCTAAAGCCAGTGTGGCATGTTTAATTCGTTTTCTTCCAATGAATTTGGCTCTAGCGTGTGAACGGTTTGGTCTATTAGCTATTATAACCTCACAAATGAAAGCTACAATACATGACCAAAAGTATGTGAACACCTGCTCGTATAACATCTCATTCCAAAATCATGGGCATTAATATGGAGTTGGTCCCCCCTTTGCTGCTATAACAGCCTTCACTCTTGTGGGAAGGCTTTCCACTAGATGTTGGAACATTGCTGCGGGGAGTTGCTTCCATTCAGCCACAAGAGTATTAGTGAGGTCGGGCACTGATGTTGGGCGATTTATGTCTGTCTTGCAGTCGGCGTTCCAATTCATCCCAAAGGTGTTTGATGGGGTTGAGGTCAGGGCTCTGTGCAGGCCAGTCAAGTTCTTTCATACCGATCTCAACAAACCATTTCTGTATGGACCTCACTTTGTGCACAGGGGCATTGTCATGCTGAATCAGGAAAGGGCCTTCCCCAAACTGTTGCCACAAAGTTGGAAGCACAGAATAGTCTAGAATGCCATTGAATGCTGTAGATTTCCCTTCACTGGAACTAAGGGGCCTAGCCCGAACCATGAAAAACAGCCCCAGACCATTATTCCTCCTCCACCAAACTTTACAGTTGGCACTATGCATTCGGGCAGTTAGCATTCTCCTGGCATCTGCCAAACCCAGATTCGTCCATCGGACTGCCAGATGGTAAAGCATGATTCATCACTCCAGAGAATGCGTTTCCGCTGCTCCAATGGCAGCGAGCTTTACACCACTCCAGCCGACGCTTGGCATTGCACATGGTGATCTTAGACTTTTGTGCGGCTGCTCGGCCATGGAAACCCATTTCATTAAGCTCCTTGTGCTGACGTTGATTCCAGTTTGGAACTCGGTAGTGAGTGTTGCAACCATTTTTACGCGCTGCTTGTGTGGCCTACCACTTGCGGCTGAGCTGTTGTTGCTCCTAGACATTTCCACTTCACAATAACAGCACTTACTGTTGACCAGGGCCGCTCTAGCAGGGCAGACATTTTGCGAACTGACTTGTTGGAAAGGTGGCATCCTATGACGGTGCCACATTGAAAGTCACTGAGCTCTTCAGTACGGGTCATTCTACTGCCAATGTTTGTCTATGGAGATTACATGGCGGTGCGCTCGATTTTATACACCTGTCAGCAACGGATGTAGCTGAAATAGCCGAATCCACTAATTTGAAGGGGTGTCCACATACTTTTGTATATATAGTGTAAACTCCCTGGAACATACACATTGAGCTCCAAAAGTATTGGGACAGTGACATATTTTGTTGTTTTGGCTCTGTACCCCAGCACTTTGGATTTTAAATGATACAATGACTGAGGTTAAAGTGCAGACTGTCAGCTTTAATTTGTGGGTATTTTCATCCATATCAGGTGAACCGTTTAGAGATTACAGCACTTTTTGTACATAGTCCAAAAGTATTGGGACAAATAAATGTATGTGTCTTAAAGTAGTCCTATAGTCCTAGCACGCAATGATTACATCAAGCTTGTGACTCTACAAACTTGCTGAATGCATTTGATGTTTGTTTTGGTTGTGTTTCAGATTATTTTGTGCCCAATAGAAGTGTATGGTAAATAATGTATTGTGTCATTTTGGAGTCACTTTTATTGTAAATATGTTTCTAAACACATCTACATTAATGTGGATGCTACCATGGTTACGGATAGTCCTGAATGGATCGTGAATAATACTGAGTGAGAAAGTTACAGAAGCAAAAATATCATAATTATTTTGGGGGGTATGATATTTACGTCTCTAACTTTCTCACTCATCATTATTCATGATTCATTGTGTTACTGTCCCAGTATGTTTGGAGCTCACTGTATGTGCCTTCTGTTTCCCTCTACAAAGCCAAGATTTTGTAACTTAACATGTAGTGTTCCCCTAATGTTTGAGTGTCCAGTCTTCCGTTAGGGGAACATTCTATCTATGTTAGCAAAAACCTTCTGAGAACTTTTTTAACCCAGAACGTGGTTACCATGTTCTCAGAATATACAATATTAATGTTCTAGACACATTTCATAGGACGTTGCAAGAACATTTTTGTGTATCAGTTGTCAGGACATCGTCTGATGGAAAATTTATGGAAAACCAATTTAAATAAATTCATTAGGCCCTAATCTATGGATTTCACATGACTGGGCAGGGGCGCAGTCATGGGTGGGCCTGGGAGGGCATAGGCCCACCCACTTGGGAGCCAGGCCCAGCCAGTCAGAATGAGTTTTTCCCCCAAAAAAGGGCTTTCTTACAGACAGAAATAATCCTCAGTTTCATCAGCTGTCTGGGTAGTTGGTCTCAGACGATCCCGCAGCTGAAGAAGCCGGATGTGGAGGTCCTGGGCTGAAGTGGTTACACGTGGTCTGCAGGTTGTGAGGCCGGTTGGGCGTACTGCCATATTCTCTAAAACGATGGTGGAGGTGGCTTATGGTAGATAAATGAACATTCAATTCTCTGGCAACAGCTCTGGTGGACATTCCTGCAGTCAGCATGTCAATTGCACGCTCCCATAAAACTTTAGACATCTGTGTCATTGTGTTGTGTGAAAAAATAAATACATTTGAGTGACCTTTTATTGTCCCCAGCACAAGGTGCACCTGTGTAATGATCATGCTGTAATCAGCTTCTTGATATGCCACACCTGTCAGGTGGATGGATTATCTTGGCACAGGAGAAATGCTCACTAACAGGGATGTGAACAAATGTATGCACAAGATTTTAGAGAAATACTATTTTTGTGCGTATGGAACATTTCTGGGATCTTTTATTATTATGTCCTAGAGATATTTCCCTTATTAGAACAGTGGTTAGGGTGTTCATCACACCTTTCTGATCATTGAAAGATGGGAATCTGTAGGATTCCCACTTGAGCATGAATTAAGACCACATTTCCACTACCTTATCAGTATTTATTAATTCTATGTTGCTGAGCATCTCAAAGAGAAGTCTCATAGTTTTTAAATCTAGACCACATATACAATGTAGAACAAACGTGTCATTGACAAACTCATTTTAATTAGCTTAGATAGCTGTGTTGAAACTCCTACCAAATAATTACATTAACATACACTATATATATACAAAAGTATGTGGACACCCCTTCAAATAAGTGGTTTCGACTATTTCAGCCACACATGTTGCTAACAGGTGTATAAAATCGAGCACACCGCCATGCAATCTCCAGAGACAAACATTGGCAGTTGAATGGCCTTACTGAAGAGCTCATTGACTTTCAACGTGGCAACGTCATAGGATGCCATCTTTCCAACACGTCAGTTCGTCCTATTTCGGCCCTGCTAGAACGGCCCCGGTCAACTGTAAGTGCTGTTATTGTGAAGTGGAAGCGTCTAGGAGCAACAACGGCTCAGCCGCGAAGTGGTAGGCCACACAAGCTCACAGAACAGGACCGCCGAGTACTTAAGCGCGTAAAAATGGTCTGTCCTCGGTTGCAACACTCACTACCAAGTCCCAAACTGCCTCTGGAAGCAACTTCAGCACAAGAACTGTTCGTCGGGAGCTTCATGAAATGGATTTCCATGGCTGAGCAGCCTAAGATCACCATGCGCAATGCCAAGCGTCGGCTGGAGTGGTGTAAAGCTCACCGCCGTTTGACTCTGGAGCAGTGGAAATGCGTTCTCTGGAGTGATGAATCATGCTTCACCATCTGGCAGTCCGACGGACGAATCTGGGTTTGGTGGATACCAGGAGAACGCTATCGGCCCGAATGCAAAGTGCCAACTGTAACGTTTGGTGGAGGAGGAATAATGGTCTGGGGCTGTTTTCCATGGTTTGGGCTAGGGCCCTTAGTTCCAGTGAAGGGAAATCTTAACACTACAGCATACAATGACATTGTAGACGATTCTGTGCTTCCAACTTTGTGGCAACAGTTTGGGGAAGGCCCTTTCCTGTTTCAACATGACAATGCCCTCATGCACAAAGCGAGGTCCATACAGAAATAGATTGTTGAGATCGATGTGGAAGAACTAGACTGGCCTGCACAGAGCCCTGACCTCAACCCCATCGAACACCGACTGCGAGCCCAACCTCACTAATGTTCTTGTGGCTGAATTGAAGCAAGTCCCCACAGCAATGTTCCAACATCTAGTGGAAAGCCTTCCCAGAAGATTGGAGGCTGTTATAGCAGCAAAAGGGGGACCAACTCCATATTAATGCCCATGATTTTGGAATGAGATGTTCAATGAGCAGGTGTCTAATACTTTTGGTCATGTAGTGTATATTGCTAAGAATGTGAGTCCCCTAGTAGGTCTTGAACCCAGGCCACCAGCACCAATGTTGAATGTCCTAACCACTGCCCCGATAAGGGATATCTAGGGCATGTGCTTATTGGGCCAGTATAGGCCCTGTCCTGTCCAGAAGAACCCCTGGCACATGTGTAGTTCTGAAATAACTTGATAGGTGTAAGGCTGTAAGCAATCTGGTGAATGCATTAAACAGGTTGACATTCCCTACAAACATTAGACAACTATACAGAAATCCCTTGAATTGCTGAAATAAGTCAATCAAATCAATGATGAGAATAGTCAGATTAACTGATACCTGACACAGACATGGTGATGTAGCAGGAAGATTGGGGCCTTGAATGGCTTGGTAACCAGGCGTGATGTGTAATGATTTTTTATGGAGAACTTTTCTTTGGGACCATCAGGCAACTGATACACAGATATGTTCCTGCAACGTTCCCATGAAACGTGTCTAGAACATTAATATCTTATGTTCTGAGAAGATGGCAACCATGTTCTGTGTATGTTTGGTGGGATGTTGATGAATTATTCATATTAAAACGTTAGTTAATGACCTTATGTGACTCTAATGGGAACTTTTTCTAAAGTTTTGGGAACGTTTGTTTCGAGAGAGAGAGAGAGAGAGAGAGAGAGAGAGAGAGAGAGGACATTACGTGATTTTTTTTGGATAAAGTTTCTTTGGGACCATCAGGTGACGTCCTGACAACTGATACACAGATATGTTCCTGCAACGTTAATATCTTATATTCTGAGAACATGGCAAAGGGCTTGTAAGTAAGCATTTCACTGTAAGGTCTACACTTGTTATATTCGGTGCCTGTGACCAGTGGTGATTTTAGCATGTAAATCTTGGTGGGGGCAAACTCAACATTTGGTTTTGAGATGCATGCCAGAAAAGCCACAACACAACACTAAACAATACATTAATTGCACTACAACGGTGACAATCAGTGCCCACAAGCTGTTAGGGCCTACATAAAGCTGTCCCGACAGCAGAGCTAAACTGTTAGGGCCTACATACTGTTAGCCCCATGTTAGTAAATCCTTACCACCGTTACACCTGGCTATCAGCAGAGCCTCGTCTGGCAGCGAAACAGTTCATTCAGCCTCATTTACTGCCTTTTAAAAAACCATAGCTGATATGGCTGACTTGCTTAAATAAATATGGTTTCTACTGACTCCTTGTGGATTTGTGTAACTCGATATTCTCCTTCATTAATAATGAATGCCGATATGAGTTTCGACTTTTAAACCATACACAAACATTATTACATTTATGTTCAGTAAATTCATAATGTTTGTTCTTATATCATTAACACTTAGCTCTAAGTATAAGCAAGTGCAAGCAAACAATCTGCGACGAGTTAGACCTTCGTTCAGCACTTTCAAAATGGACACAGACAGAAATTCAGATAGATGTTAGTTCAGATACATTCAGCAAGATGTTGAGGCCTTAACTTCTTTAAGTCGAGAGAGAGAGAGAGAGAGAGAGAGACAAGCAAGATGCGGTTAGCCTGCCATTTGAAGTATTTAATTAGGCCTTTGTGGTCTAAAAATACAACTTACATTTTTGTCATTTAGCAGACACTCTCATACAGAGCAACTTACAGTAGTGAGTGCTCACATTTTCATACTGGTCCCCCCTGGGAATTGATCCCACATCCCTAGCATTGCAAGTGCCATGCTCTACCAACTGAGCTACACAGGACAATCATGAGGATTCACTTTTATGTAGAAAATATACCGAAGCACAGACAGTGCATTGCGCAAACAAAACAACCCTCGCAATATCAACTGGAATTACATGGGTCTATTACTGAACTTTTTGTTGAAAAAAAAAAACATTTGAATGGGAAAAGACTGTCACTGGCAAACATGGCTACAGACCCAACAACGTTAGATAGTATCCCCTCCTCGTGGAGAAAAGCATATGAGCTAATTTAATACACAAAGTAAGCAAAACAATGAAATGCATCATTCCAACATTGTCTAAATTTATGAATAAGATACTAATGAGAGATCTATATAAGCAATAGGCCTATAACAATTGAGCTGTATAAACTATGGCATAAGGGAACGATGAGCGGATAAGAGGAAAGCCATCATTTCAATTAAGACATTAATGAACGCGCTAAAACGGACGTAGTCGATATGCCCATTTGTTCAGCACTTTTGAAATGGCCAGCGACAGAATTCAGAACATGGGCCGTTCTTACAGTATTCTCCCTGTACACCAAGTCAGACCCGTAAGATAAATAACGGGGGTATATGAGCAGACAATGAAAGCTCTTACAATATTCAATGATGACATTTCTCTAAAACAGGTTATAGGCTACATGTGCACCACTTTTCTATCTTCTCTTCCTCTAGTCAGCCTTGACTACCACCATGGACCACTTCAAAGCACACGGTTGTCCTGAACCTCCAAACAATAAAGACCATTCAATTAATACACCCATAAATATCTCCAACTACAGAAAACATATGGATAACTGGGCCCAAAATCTGTCTTCTCCAGCAGGTGGCATTTTTTCTGCCCACAAAGCAGGACGTTTTTGTATGGAGGTCAATGAGAGAGTGTCGAATTTGGTTAACAAAAAATGTAATGGCTTATTTGCTACGTGTGGCTTATTTAATCGAATATACGTTTCGTAATGATTAGGCTGTTACGAGTGTACTGATATAAGTAGGACACGTGACATCCCGGCAACTTTTAGAAAAAAAAACACTTTATATCGGAGTTGTGCCTGGTCGTCTCTAGTTACCACAGCCACAAAGTGATAAACCCCGCCCATTTCTACTATTTATCTTCTTAATATTTTATTTTAAACCTAACCACACTGCTAACTTTATGCCTATTCCTAACCTTAAATGAAGACCAAAAAGCTCATTTTTATTTTCATGAATTTTTTTAACCAATTCTGACTTTGTGGCTGCGGTAACTAGTGAAGACCTTTGTGCCTGTTGTTCACACGCCTATCTGCCCGCATTGCCTTCAATTTTTTTACAGATATCTTTTCATTTTTAGAGCGGCTACTAATGGCTAATCTGTGTTGACGCCCCTCGACCATTTATCCGTTTCCGGGTCACGCGTCAATAGTGGGTTGCAGTGGGTGCTCAGAGCTCGTGTTGTTGTGACACATTTTTGTGGCTAGCAGCGCCAGCAACTTCGTCTTTGAAATGGCCCTGTTCTGCAGAACCGCAGCACTGCTCTTGAAGCCAGGAGCTCTCTCCTCCACTCTCTCTGTCGCTCGTCAATACAGTGCGGGTAAGAGGTTACTGCTAATTTCATTTTAGAAAAGCATTGCCGTTTGCAGTGCCTTTATTTTTTACTAGTGCCTCTACCACAAAGTCATGGAGCTAGTTACGTCATTACATGTGCGACGCTAGATGCTTTGCAGATGGGTCCATGCTACTCGGAATCCTTGGGACGTCCCTGGGTATGGTTAAAGTGATATTACATTTACGTCATTTAGCAGACGCTCTTATCCAGAGCGATTTACAGTTAGTGAGTGTATACATTTCAGGATTCTACTTCCCAAGAGTCAGATGAACTCGTGGATACCATTTTTATGTCTGCGTGCAATTTGAAGGAAGTTTCTAACTAGTACTAGCACAATTGCCAAGTCATTACTACGGATTTTGGCAAAGGCAGATGAACTGGTGGATTCCATTTTTATGTCTCAGTCTCAGTGTCCAGTATTAAGTCATTGCGCTAATGCTAGTTAGCATTGGCTCGCAAAACGACCTCTAACTTCCTTCATACTGGACACAGAGACATAAAAATAGTATCCACGAGTTAATCTGCCTTCGGGGAAGTAGATAAAGGGCATTATTGCCAAAATCCCGAAGTATACCTTTAAGGTTAGGGTTTAGGGTAGGGACATCCCAAGGATAGATAGCACTAAGTGTTTCAGATTGACAAAGAGGAAGAGGAGAAACCAGAGGATTTACCCCGCCCTAAAATCTGTCAGCGTGAGATAAACCCTTTTATGTATGGGTGTCAAATTAGGTGAGGCTTATTTGATCGAATATACGTTTTGCAATGAACTGATATAAGTGGATGCACTTGGCTTTCCTGTGTCAGATCTGACTGCCTACTGAATCTGACTGACAGTCTTGCCGATAGATACACACGGCGAGGCGTGGCTTAAAATCCCAATGTCGTTGCCTACTCGAGGCGCCCGGCCGTCACTGACGCTCGTTTACCAAGTACATCGGGCCGTTTCCGTCAACCGGAATTCAGCCGACTTTGCCGGCATCTTACCAGAATCCCCCCAGAAGCGGCCCCGATGCAAATTTAAAGAAATGTATAAAAAATTTCCCGATTTTAGTAATTTTAAATATTACTATTATACATTTTATACATACAAATGATACCTATCCACAAAGTTTTTAATGCTGATCATTTGCCTATGCACAAAGTATCAAAATACTAAAATACTACTTAAACAGGACTCTTAAAGAATTTAATTTAAATTAAATGTTTTGATCACAGAAACAATTAAGTAGTTTGATTTTGTCTATTTAAGCTTTCTTTCTTTTTAAGCTCTAGTAGGCATTCAGTTTTCTCCATCACTCCTCCAAGGTCTGGTCACTTCTCACTCGCTCTCTCCTTTTTCTCCCTCCAGCTCTGTCAGGGGCTAGCTGCATCGATCGTTTTATGGTATTTTTCTATCTCCACATCAGGAACTTCAGAATGGCTGCCACGCAGCGACGTATATGATGAATATAATACTAATTTGAAGAAAGCTGGAATGGTACTCTGGGTCAGATTGTGGCTTGGTTGATTACCTTTCAGCAATGCATGTAATGATCAAATCAAATCAAATTTTATTGGTCACATGCGCCGAATACAACAGGTGCAGACATTACAGTGAAATGCTTACTTACAGCCCTTAACCAACAGTGCATTTATTTTTAACAAAAAAAGTAAAAATAAAACAACAACAAAAAAAGTGTTGAGAAAAAAAAGAGCAGAAGTAAAATAAAGTGACAGTAGGGAGGCTATATATACAGGGGGGTACCGTTGCAGAGTCAATGTGCGGGGGCACCGGCTAATTGAGGTAATATGTACATGTGGGTAGAGTTATTGTATGACAAGATAATGATATCTTGTCATACAAGGTTATTTTTTAAGTCTTGATCTGAAAGTTGGCCCTCAACTCTCCTCAAGTCTTCCAGCGAGGACATTGGAAGTTGAAGGTCTGTCAAATCTGAAACCTGATCAAGGGTTGATCTGTTCGCCTGGAGCTTTTGCAGCTGAGGCAAAATCTGCTTTTGCTGTTGCTTAATCATTTCTATGGAGGTTAGGATCTCATGAAGAATTGCTGAAAAAATACAAAACAGAACACAGTTGTGTTTTATCCCTCACATCCTTTCAGTAGTTAAAGTTTATAAAAGATAATAAAGATAAATATAAACAACATAATCAACACAATCACATTATACAAGCATTTACATACTGATGTTACAAGAAAACAATTTCTCAGCTCTGGCATCCAACCAAAATGCAGCAGATTTATATATTATGTTTGTAAAATACAATCAAGTGTCTGGCAATATCTGTTAGATTGCAGCTGTTAACCAAATCCAATCCAATTTTATTTGTCACATACACGTGTTTAGCAGATGTTATTGCGGGTGTAGCGAAATGCTTGTGCTTCTAGCTCCGACAGTGCTGTAATATCTAACAATTTCACAACATATACCTAATACACACAAATAAGGAATGGAATTTAAGAATATATACATATATGGACAAGCAATGACAGAGCAGCATGGACTAAGATACAGTAGAATATTATAGAATAGAATACATTATATACATATGAGATGAGTAGTGCAAGATATGTAAACATTATTAAAGTGACTAGTGTTCCATTTCTTAAAGTGGCCAGTGATTTCAATATGCAGCAGCAGCATCTAATGTGCTAGTGATGACTATTTAACAGTCGATGGCCTTGAGATAGAAGCTGTTTTTCATTCTCTTGGTCCCAGCTTTGATGCACCTGTACTGACCTCGCCTTCTGGATGATAACGGGGTGAACAGGCAGTGGCTCGGGTGGTTGATGTCCTTGATTATCTTTTTGGCCTTCCTGTGACATCGGGTGCTGTAGGTGTCCTGGAGGGCAGGTAGTTTGCCCCCGGTAATGCGTTCGGCAGACCGCACCACCCTCTGGAGAGCCCTGCGGTTGCGGGCAGTGCAGTTGCCACACCAGGCGGTGATACAGCCCAACAGGATGCTCTCAATTGTGCATCTGTAAAAGGTTGTGAGGGTTTTAGGTGCCAAGACAAATTCCTTCAGCTTCCTGAGGTTGAAGAGGCTCTGTTGCGCCTTCTTCACCACACTGTCTGTGTGGGTGGACCATTTCAGTTTGTCAGTGATGTGTAAGCCAAGGAACTTGAGGCTTTCCACCTTCTCCACTGCGGTCCCGTCAATGTGGATAGGGCGGTGCACCCTCTGCTGTTTCCTGAAGTCCACGATCATCTCCTTTGTTTTGTTGATGTTGAATGAGAGGTTATTTTCCTGGCACCACACTCCCAGAGCCCTCACCTCCTCCCTGTAGGCTGTCTCGTCATTGTTGGTAATCAAGCCTACTACTGTTGTGTCGTCTGCAACCTTGATGATTGAGATGGAGGCGTGCTTGGCCACGCAGTCATGGGTGAACAGGGAGTACAGGAGGGGGCTGAGCACGCACCCTTGTGGGGCCCCAGTGTTGAGGATCAGCGAAGTGGAGATGTTGTTTCCTGCCTTCACCACCTGGGGGCGGCCCGTCAGGAAGTCCAGGACCCAGATGCACAAGGTGGGGTTCAGACCCAGGGCCTCAAGCTTTGATGAGCTTGGAGGGTACTATGGTGTTGAATGCTGAGCTATAGTCAATGAACAACATTCTTACATAGGTATTCCTCTTGTCCATATGGGATAGGGCAGTGTGATGGCGATTGCATCGTCTGTGGATCTATTGGGGCGGTAAGCAAATTGAAGTGGGTCTAGGGTGACAGATAAGGTAGAGGTGATATGATCCTTGACTAGTCTCTCAAAGCACTTCATGATGACAGAGGTGAGTGCTACGGGGCGATAGTCATTTAGTTCAGTTACCTTTGCTTTCTTGGGTACAGGAACAATGGTGGCCATCTTGAAGCATGTGGGAACAGCAGACTGGGAAAGGGAGAGATTGAATATGTCTGTAAACACACCAGCCAGCTGGTCTGCGCATGCTCTGAGGACTGCAAGCTACCCGGAACATATCCCAGTCCGCGTGATCAAAACAATCTTGAAGCGTGGATTCCGATTGGTCAGACCAGCGTTGAATAGTCCTTAGAACAGGTACTTCCTGTTTGAGTTTCTGCCTATAGGGAGGAGCAAAATGGAGTTGTGGTCAGATTTGCCGAAAGGAGGGCGGGGGAGGGCCTTATAACCATCCCGGAAGTTCGAATAGCAATGGTAGAGGATTTTAGCAGCCCGAGTACAACAGTCGATATGTTGATAGAACTTCGGCAGCCTAGTCCTCAAATTTGCTTGTTAAAATCCCCGGCTACAATAAATGCAGCCTCAGGATATGTGGTTTCCAGTTTGCATAAAGTCCAGTGAAGTTCTTTGAGGGCCGTCGTGGTATCGGCTTGAGGGGGGGATATACACGGCCGTGACTATAACCGAAGAAAATTATCTTGGGAGATAATACGGTCGGCATTTGATTGTGAGATATTCTCGGGTGAACAAAAGGACTTGAGTTCCTGTATGTTACTACAATTACACCATGAGTCGTTAATCATGAAACACACACCTCCGCCCTTCTGCTTCCCGGAGAGATATTTATTTCTGTCTGCGCAATGAACTGAGAACCCATCTGGCTGGACCGATTTCGAACAGAATATCCCCAGAGAGCCATGTTTACGTGAAACAAAGTATGTTACAGGCCTTGATGTCTCTCTGGAAAGAAATCCTTGCCCTGAGCTCGTCGACCTTGTTATCCAAAGACTGAACATTAGCGAGTAGTATACTTGGAAGCGGTGGGTGGTGTGCGCGCCTCCTAAGTCGAACCAGCAGGCCACTCCGAGTGCCTCTCCTCCGCCGGCGATGCTTTGGGTCAGCCGCAAAGAATCTGCTTCGGGAAAGTCATATTCCTGGTCGTAATGCTAGTGAGTTACCGCCGCTCTGATGTCCAATAGTTTTTCCCGGCTGTATGTAATGATACAAAACACTTTCTGAGCTAATAATGTAAAAAATTATACATAAAAAAAAAAAGAAAATACAGCAATGTTTCCTAAGAGCTAGTCGCGAGGCCGCCATCTTCGTCGGCTACAAGCTTGTTCAACCAAATGAAGAAGCAGCATACCCACATTTGTTTTTAAATGGCAAGAGCACATACTTTAGAAGGCTTTCATCTACCTTGACACATTTCAGATTCAAGACATATCTGACAGAAGGAAGACTCCCAACTGTGATGATTTAACTGGGTAGTCAAAACAGTCTGTGACAGAAGTTAACTAATTATATACAACATCCCTTTAATAAAAATTATATTTCTAACGAAAACCTATACTGTCATTTCTTTTGATGCGACCGGGAGACCCATGGGGCGGCACACAATTGGCCCAGTGTCGTCCAGGTAGGGGAGGGAATGGCCGGCAGGGATGTAGCTCAGTTGGTAGAGCATGGCATTTGCAATGCCAGGGTTGTGGGTTCGATTCCCACAGGGGGCCAGTATGAAAAAAAAATAAAAAATGTATGCACTAAATGTAAGTCGCTCTGGATAAGAGCGTCTGCTAAAATGTAAATGTAAATGTATGATGCAATTGTCACCAGTGACAACCTTGATGCAGAATTTGGATAGATATATTTCCTTGTATTCACTGACTGGACAGGTAACGTTGTGGAATAGGACCATCATTGTGATTTTTCTTTCACTTTAGGGTAAGAAATGTCACTACAACCATCAGAGGTCATATGTTCCAACTCTGATATCCGTCTTATAACTTGTGCCACAGGAAAGTGTGTGTTTCTTACCGTTTTTAAAATTTGACCTAAGAAGTTTACGAAAGGAAAACCTGAGATGGTATCAAGGTGACCGTGCTGTTTCACATCATCACTTAGATGTATAAGGCCATGTACATTGTATACCAAATTCTTATCCCCATAGATCTGGCCAAAGTGCTCTACAAAAGACACCAGCAAAGTTTTAGCGAAGTCACACATCTGAACACATAGGGAAGGACTAGCAAGAATTGATATTGCAACTGAAAGGAGTATGAAACTATTGTACACCGGTGCACACAACATTGTACAGCACAACTGGCCCAGTGTATAACAAAACTGTCTGAATTCAGTAGCCTTCCACCTGTGTCTTTCAGCAACAGCCCTAGGCTTTCTTGCAAACTCACAGGGAGTATAGCTTTTTAGAGAAAGTAGATTCTGAGACAACTGAGTAACCCTCTGAGATGATAACCGGCATTGAAGTGGACCAGTGCTGCCACTCCATAGCTCTAACAGTTTTCTTGTCACTCCAAGACATACAAGGTGCATGTAGTCATGGGGAAATGCTGTTACCATACCAAAACTAAGTTTGGTTAGTGGGGATGTCTCCTTGTGATGTTCCTCATCTGACTGTGCATTAAAAATTCTATCAGTTCTTAGGACACAATTACTCTCAGGAAAGGTCATCCTACCTTGAAAATGCAAACCATATCCTGTACATTTATCACACCCAGCATAGCCCGTGTGTGACTTGATGCCTTTGATGAAAGCCTGTGCAGGGGCATCACAAACTAATTGTAATGAAGAGTTGTTTCCCTTTAAACGTAAAGCCAGAGTGTAAATGTTTTGTTTCTTACACTAAATCCAACAATTGTTTACAGACAGATTATTTCACTTATAATTCACTGTATCACAATTCCAGTGGGTCAGAAGTTTACGTACACTAAGTTGACTGTGCCTTTAAACAGCTTGGAAAATTCCAGAAAATTCAGAAGCTTCTGATAGGCTAATTGACATCATTTGAGTCAATTGGAGGTGTACCTGTGGATGTATTTCAAGGCCGACCTTCAAACTCAGTGCCTCTTTGCTTGACATCATGGGAAAATCAAAAGAAATCAGCCAAGACCTAAAAAAAAAATTGTATACCTTCACAAGTCTGGTTCATCCTTGGGAGAAATTCCTAAACGCCTGAAGGTACCACGTTCATCTGTACAAACAATAGTACGCAAGTATAAACACCATGGGTCCACGCAGCCGTCATACCGCTCAGGAAGGAGACGCATTCTGTCTCCTAGAGATGAACGTTCTTTGGTGCAAAAAGTGCAAATCAATCCCAGAACAACAGCAAAAGACCTTGTGTAGATGCTGGAGGAAACAGGTACAAAAGTATCTATATCCACAGTAAAACGAGTCCTATATCGACATAACGTGAAAAGCCGCTCAGCAAGGAAGAAGCCACTGCTCCAAAACCGCCATTAAAAAGCCAGGCTACAGTTTGCAACTGCACATGGGGACAAAGATTGTACTTTTTGGAGAATTGTCCTCTGGTCTGATGAAACAAAAATAGAACTGTTTGGTCATAATGACCATCATTATGTTTGGAGGAAAAAGGGGGTTACTTGCAAGCCGAAGTACACCATCCCAACCGTGAAGCACTGGGGTGGCAGCATCATGCTGTGGGGGTGCTTTGCTGCAGGAGGGACTGGTGCACTTCACAGAATACATGGCATCGTGAGGAACGAAAATTGTGTGGATATATTGAAGCAACATCTCAAGACATCAGTCAGGAAGTTAAAGCTTGGTCGCAAATGGGTCTTCCAAATGGACAATGACCCCAAGCATACTTCCAAAGTTGTGGCAAAATGGCTTAAAAACAACAAAGTCAAGGTATTGGAGTGGCCATCACAAAGCACTGACCTCTATCCTATAGAAAACTTGTGGGCAGAACTGAAAAAGTTTGTGCGAGCAAGGAGGCCTACAAACCTGACTCAGTTACACCAGCTCTGTCTAGAGGAATGGGCCAAAATTCACCCAACTTATTGTTGGAAGCTTGTAGAAGGCTACCTGAAACGTTTGACCCAAGTTAAACAATTTAAAGGCAATGCTACCAAATACTAATTGAGTGTATGTAAACTTCTGACCCACTGGGAATGTGATGAAATAAATACAAGCTGAAATAAATCATTCTCTCTACTATTATTCTGACATTTCACATTCTTAAAATAAAGTGGTGATCCTAACTGACCTAAGACAGTGAATTTTTACTAGGATTAAATGTCAGGAATTGTGAAAAACTGAGTTTAAATATATTTGGCTAAGGTGTATGTAAACTTCTGACTTCAACTGTAGCTGTACCATGATATTTGCACTGTGAAGCGTACTGTAGCTGTGGCTAAGTAAACCTCGTAATTGTCCTCCAATATTCCACCTGCTAAAACCTCCCCCCATCTCAAGTTGGGTTGTCGTTCCAGTGACTGGCTGACCATCCCTGTACACATGGATCCTAGGACCTTTAAGAGATAGGGGCCCATCCTTTAAAAAGAGTACATGGTGCCACCTACAGTACAGAACCAGATCCGCAGCCAACATCATTTTGAAAGCCTTCGCCTCAGTTGTAGAGGTGAAACTCACAATAAAATAAGACAGCGGGAGACTGTTTTGCGGCGCTCAAACACAAGTTGTTTATTTTAATAAAGGTAGGGGGGAACGGGGAGGGGAGAAATATAACTGAAAGGCCTCTCGGGTAACGGGGGGGTCACTAGGTGTCCGGCGTGGAGGCTCCTCGGACCGCCTGTGGTAATGAACAACAAAAGAGAGAGTGCGATGAGTCCGGGGTTTCAATACTTGTTCTCAACTTGTGTCCGGTGGCGTGCTGCCCGGGAATGGGTCCTCTTCCTTTAGGGGCAAAGAAAGGGAAGAGAGAGAGACATGGGAGTCAAACATTGCCTAGTATCTTCTTTGGCGTCTGATCGAGGTGATTGTTATACGCACCTGTCAGTCGCAGGACCTAGAATGCCATTGTAATTTTTCAACTCAAATGGCACAGAATTCGTGGCACTCTCTGTATAAAAGTCTGGCCAAAAACAAATACACAGATTTGACAGTCAAGCTATTAGTAAAATAAAAGCCATCCCCTTTCACTATGTAGAACTTCCTGAGAGGTGATGATTCGTTGAAGTTAAAGAAGAAAGCAACTGATTTGTTTCGGCAGCCTCCCTTAATCTCCGTCCGACATTCTAGAATTTAGATGACTGTCTAAAACAAATTCTCTTCTATAACCAGTGATGTGAAAATGATCAGATTCTGTGTAACCTTTAAATAGTGTTAGTTTAAAGAGCGCATACATCCCAAACATTTGCCTCCTGTTCTATTGATTTCAACGTGATATCGATGGAAATGATGTTTTAAAAATAATAAAGTTACACTTACCATGTTGGCAACCCACTTGAATCAAAATGCAACACTTCAAAATGTAGCTAGGTGTCTTCTGCAAGTTGTCCTCTAACCAGTGGTGTACACATTATTCTCAGATTCCGTGTGGTTTTTGAGCTGTGTTCGTTTTAACGGGAAAGTTTTAACCTAATATCCCCCATCTCGCGCTATTGATTTCAACGTGATAATCGATATGAGTGATTGATAAGTGTTGCGTTTCTGTTTTGGTGACCTCCGTATCAAAATGCAGCATTCCAAAATGTAGCTGACTGTTTTCTGCAGGTTGTCCTCTAACCAGTGATGTTAAAATCTCTTTAGTTTCAATGTGGTTTTTGTGGTTGTGGTAGTTTCAACAGCGCATACAACCTGATTTCCTAATCGATATGAGAGATTTATTGCCACAGGGTGTTTGGTGATTGTGCAGTTTATAAAGTGCTCGTTAAAAAAAATACAAGTAATATGATTACTATTGTTGCACATGTATGTGTAGATGGTAAATGTCAAGTTTAGGTTTTCAATATATAAAATACTTTCTGCATATTGGTTATTGATTTGGGCTATTTATCAAAATGGCTTGTCAACAGGAAGCAGCAACAACATAATTTTTAACTTACATTTTAGGAATATAAACTGCACTTTCAACGTTAATTTCCAATAGTATTGTAATTAATCAGGTAAACACTGCTGAATGAGTCCAAAAACATGCTGTGATTGATTTATTTTGATGATATACCAGAAATCACCAAAACTGGTTTGCCCGATAATAGCAATCTGTGTTGGTCATTCCACTAATCCTCAAGAATATCAGTCCACATCCTTGTTATGAGGTTTGTACTAACCTGGCTTGCGGAGTCATCCCACCTGTAGTAGTTGGAGCAAAAACTTGTTCTGCGTTACAGGCCGACTATATTGCAGTAGCCTACCGGTTCTCACAATGGCTGCATAGGTGTTAAACGTATCAGCTTATCACATCATGTGATGGGAATCAAAACCTATTCAATCTGGTGCCCGACTGCACCATCGATGACATGGCATGCAACGATTGCTCGTTGCTGCACACAGCAAGACTGCAATGGAGTCAGCCTGGAACGCCACCTTGGTCACGTTGAATGAGTAATCCTCTTAATGTATTGTGTGTGTGTAGGTGGTCAATATGAGTACATCTTGGTGGAAAAGCGGGGAGAGAATCAGGATGTGGGCTACATTCAGTTGAACCGCCCCAAGGCTCTGAACGCTCTGTGTGACGGGCTGATGCTGGAGCTGGGAAAAGCGCTGGACGCTTTCGAGGCCGACGGAACAGTGGGCGCCATCGTCCTTACCGGCAGCGACAGGGCCTTCGCAGGTGAGGATGTGTGTGTGAACGAGACGGAGAGAGAGATGAGTGTGTGCACACATCTGGTGTCTTTCACCTGAAAACTATGTGTGTGTCTCAGCTGGGGCTGACATTAAGGAGATGCAGAATCGTACCTTCCAGGAGTGTTATGCCGGGAACTTCCTAGCTCACTGGAACAGAGTCTCTACCATCAAGAAACCAGTCATTGCTGCTGTCAACGGGTTCGCTGTGAGTACACACACACCAACACACACCTCAGTCAACAGGTACTCTGTTATAACAGTATACACTAGAGGTCTTCACGGGTCCAAAAGGTTGGACCCGTTCCGGAATGGACCGGTGGCGTTCCCACCCGGACCCGATATGCATATACAGTGGGGAGAACAAGTATTTGATACACTGCCAATTTTGCAGGTATTCCTACTTACAAAGCATGTAGAGGTCTGTAATTTTTATCATAGGTACACTTCAACTGTGAGAGACGGAATCTAAAACAAAAATCCAGAAAATCACATTGTATGATTTTTAAGTAGTTAATTAGCATTTTATTGCATGACATAAGTATTTGATACATCAGAAAAGCAGAACTTAATATTTGGTACAGAAACCTTTGTTTGCAATTACAGAGATCATACGTTTCCTGTAGGTCTTGACCAGGTTTGCACACACTGCAGCAGGGATTTTGGCCCACTCCTCCATACAGACCTTCTCCAGATCCTTCAGGTTTCGGGGCTGTCGCTGGGCAATACCGACTTTCAGCTCCCTCCAAAGATTTTCTATTGGGTTCAGGTCTGGAGACTGGCTAGGCCACTCCAGGACCTTGAGATGCTTCTTACGGAGCCACTCCTTAGTTGCCCTGGCTGTGTGTTTGGGGTCGTTGTCATGCTGGAAGACCCAGCCACGACCCATCTTCAATGCTCTTACTGAGGGAAGGAGGTTGTTGGCCAAGATCTCGCGATACATGGCCCCATCCATCCTCCCCTCAATACGGTGCATTCGTCCTGTCCCCTTTGCAGAAAAGCATCCCCAAAGAATGATGTTTCCACCTCCATGCTTCACGGTTGGGATGGTGTTCTTGGGGTTGTACTCATCCTTCTTCTTCCTCCAAACACGGCGAGTGGAGTTTAGACCAAAAAGCTCTATTTTTGTCTCATCAGACCACATGACCTTCTCCCATTCCTCCTCTGGATCATCCAGATGGTCATTGGAAAACTTCAGACGGGCCTGGACATGCGCTGGCTTGAGCAGGGGGACCTTGCGTGCGCTGCAGGATTTTAATCCATGACGGCGTGGTGTGTTACTAATGGTTTTCTTTGAGACTGTGGTCCCAGCTCTCTTCAGGTCATTGACCAGGTCCTGCCGTGTAGTTCTGGGCTGATGCCTCACCTTCCTCATGATCATTGATGCCCCACGAGGTGAGATCTTGCATGGAGACCCAGACCGAGGGTGATTGACCGTCATCTTGAACTTCTTCCATTTTCTAATAATTGTGCCAACAGTTGTTGCCTTCTCACCAAGCTGCTTGCCTATTGTCCTGTAGCCCATCCCCGCCTTGTGCAGGTCTACAATTTTATCCCTGATGTCCTTACACAGCTCTCTGGTCTTGGCCATTGTGGAGAGGTTGGAGTCTGTTTGATTGAGTGTGTGGACAGGTGTCTTTTATACAGGTAACGAGTTCAAACAGGTGCAGTTAATACAGGTAATGAGTGGAGAACAGGAGGGCTTCTTAAAGAAAATCTAACAGGTCTGTGAGAGCCGGAATTCTTACTGGTTGGTAGGTGATCAAATACTTATGTCATGCAATAAAATGCAAATGTATTACTTAAAAATCATACAATGTGATTTTCTGGATTTTTTAGATTCCGTCTCTCACAGTTGAAGTGTACCTATGATAAAAATTACAGACCTCTACATGCTTTGTAAGTAGGAAAACCTGCAAAATCTGCAGTGTATCAAATACTTGTTCTCCCCACTGTGTGTGTGTATGTGTATGTGTGTGTATATATATATATATATATATATATATATATATATATATATATATATATATATATATATACATATACATACATACATACATACATACATACATACATACTTTTTTTTTTATGGAGACCCATTCCGAATGGACTTGAGGGCATTCATACTCATTTCAAAAAGTCCAGTGGAAAAACGGACCCAAACAGACCTGTGGCGATTCGGATCCGAGAGACTCGTTCAGATCCGAGAGTAGAAAGAGAGAAAGAAACCTCTGACCTGGCGCCATCAATAAACGAGCGATATTGGCCAAATTAGCCACAGTTAGGCCTACGTGTCCTTAAAAACAACCTATAACAAATTAAAAATATATATTCCTTGTTTCGATGTGTGGCATATTCAAAACATTAGCCTATTGTTTTATTGGTTTTTACTTTCCTAAAACAGTAATTGTCCACTTCCAGGTTCAGCTGTAAGAGATTTGATGGCTAAATGCACCAGAGCATTGCATGCATAGGCCTATATGCGTCCACTGTATGATATTAATAGGCCTATTTAAAAAAGTAATATAAAGGAAGAGAAATTTAGGCCTAGCCCTAGAGAGAGGGATGGATGCCGGCAACATGTTCCCCTATACCGTCATGCATTTCTTTATCCTTGCCAGATAGGCTGTTGCTGCTGTACAGATATACTGTAGGCTTGCAGAAGGAGGCTAATTAGTAAATTTTCGATCAGAATATTTTTTTAAGATAAAGATAAACATTATATTGTTAGATTATAGAAGTACTGGTAGGCCTAAAACACTCTTCCTCACCTCAAGTTCAACTGTCGGAGTCCGAGGGAGGCACACTGCCTTCTCCACACCAAACCTTCACAAAAGTTTCTAAACTAGCCTAGCGGTTAGATCGTTGGGCCAGTAACCGAATGGTCGCTGGTTTGAATACCCGAGCCGACAATGTGAAAAATCTGTCTGTGCTCTTACTACTATGGCTGACCCTGTAAAACAACACCTATTCGGTGTATGTGACAATAAAACATATTATTATATTATAAAAAGTAAGTCAAGCCATTGTTGAAGGAAAATACAAAAGGCTATTTATTATATTGTTGCAAACACAACTTTACAGTTGGAACTTAAAGATGTCCACATAGTCCTGCTTTGTGGCATTTCGCAAAGGCTCTGTTATACTGATCGCACTATACGTTTATGTGCGTGTAGATATGGTTCTCCTTCTCCCGAGTGGCGCAGTGGCCTAAAGCACTGCATCGCAGTGCTAGCTGTGCCACTAGAGATCCTGGTTCGAATTCAGGCTCTGCTGTAGCCGGCCGCAACCGGGAGACCAATGGGGCGGCGCACAATTGGTCCAGCGTCGTCCAGGGTAGGGGAGGGAATGGCCGGCAGGGAGGTAGCTCAGTTGGTAGAGCATGGCGTTTGCAACGCCAGGGTTGTGGGTTCGATTCCCATGGGGGGCCAGTATGAAAAAAAAAAGAATAATGTATGCACTAACTGTAAGTCGCTCTGGATAAGAGCATCTGCTAAATGACGTAAATGTAAAAATGTAAATGTTGTTCGATAGAGCCATTGTACGTCATTCACCAATGTTCCTATTGTCGGATTCATTGCTAAATAAATACAAATTCCAGTCTCTGAAAGACTACAACTTGTGTTGGGTGGTGCTTCGTGCTCTGGCCCCCGTCCCTTCCCCAAGGCAGGCTTTTTTTTTAAAGAGACTGACACTAACAAAACAGTCCTTTGGGCAAAACTGAAAGAACTGACCAGATGCAATGGGTTCAAGTGATTCCTTTCATCAACACGAATTCGACAATGGAGGATCTATTAGCTACATGGTGACATTCAACCATACATGTTTCAACCGGAACATAGCGAAGAGGATATAGCTAACGTTAGAAGCTCAGCTATGAGCCGAAGCTAGCACCAAGAGGCCAGATGACAAATACGGTGCCTAGCTAAGTTATTTTTCCTGCCACCTAGCTAGCTATCTAACTTTAGTTTATCTACTGAAACCCATATTGTGTATTGTTGGCTTGCTCTCTAACATACTACTGTGTTACAGTGGGGGATAAATATATTTTTATGTTTGCTAACTTTGCTAAACAATTACGGTAGCCATATACAGTGATCCCTCGCCACTTCGCGGTTCACTTATCGCGGATTCGCTATTTCGCGGATTTTCATAATGCATTTTTTTTTTTTTGGTGCATTGTGCTCTGCATTCTGATTCGCTAAAAACTCACTCCCGCTTCTTGTATCAAAACATGCTACGAATTCTGCTATCATTTTGTCGTCTCGTGCAGTTATGTGTACGTACATAAAACAGCTTGGCAAATTTACATTAAGTTGGCCAAATTATCTTGTAATTTCGAACATCTCCTAAACCCATAATGTCGACGAAACGGCCTGGACCGACAAAAGCACCTGCGGATGGGCCCAAACGGCGGAAGATGCTACCTATCTCAGATAAAGTTAAACTTCTGGACATGCTAAGGGAAGGTAAATGACAAAGCCACAAAGCGACGATGAAAGAGAAGAGGGAGAAGAGGACACGAGAGATGAGGAGGAAGGACTAACGCTTGGTCGCTTAGCAACCATGGTGCGAATGGCCACTGAACTTAAGCGAGTAGCTGAGGAATGGGACCCTTTGATGAGCCGTTCATTACAGTTCTCCAACGTAATCGATGGTGGCATGTCGGTGTACAAGGATCTTTTTGCAAAGAAGAAAAAAGAGCGACAACAGCTGCCTATCACTATGTTCTTCTCCCGAACAAACACACCTGCACCGCGGGCTTCAGAAGAAGAGAACACTGCAGAGCGCAGTCAGGATGCAGCGGCCCAGTCTGAAGAGCAGTGAAACGGCCTACACGTGAGTCACTGTATTTGTATACATGTAATAGTTGCTAATTGTAAAAAAAAAAAGTTTTCTATTTCGCGGATTTCACTTATCGCGGGTCATTTTCGGAACGTAACCCCCGCGATAAACGAGGGATTACTGTATGACAAAAAATAGGTTTTACAATCAAAAAACTTTTGTACCTTGATTCTTCTCTTTTTAGTCTTAGATATGGCTGCTAAACAGCAAGCTGCAACGTTACAACCAGCCACCTAAAGCTAGGTTTACCAGCAAACAGCACATTAATGGAGTTGGCTAGCTAGTTAGCCTGGCACCTGCTAACTTGTCATGCGCCATGCCTCGCATTTGTAACTTGTTAGTAAACGTGTAACATCAGCAATTGTAAATAATTTGACTAGCTAGTTATGTAACATACACTATATATACAAAAGAATGTGGACACCCCTTCAAATTAGTGGATTCGGCTATCCTGTTGCTGACGGGTGAATAAAATCGAGCACACAGCCATGCAATCTCCATAGACAAACATTAGCAGTAGAATGGCCTTACTGATGAGCTCAGTGGTACCGTCATAGGATGCCCCCTTTCCAACAAGTCAGTTCATCAAATTTCTGCCCTGCTAGAGCTGCCCCGGTCAACTGTAAGTGCTGTTATTGTGAAGTGACAACGGCTCAGCCACTAAGTGGTAGGCCACACAAGCTCACAGAACGGGAATGCCGAGTGCTGAGGCGCATGGCGCGTAAAAATTGTCTGTCCTCGGTTGCAACACTCACTACCGAGTTCCAAACTGCTTCTGGAAGCAACATCAGCACAATAACTGTTAGTCAGGAGCTTCATGAAATGGGTTTCCATTGCCGAGCAGCCGCACACAAGCTTAAGTTCACCATGCGCAATGCCAAGCATCGGCTGGAGTGGTGTAAAGTTCACCGCCATTGGACTGGATCAGTGGAAACGCTTTCTCTGGAGTGATGATTCACGCTTCACCATCTGGCAATCCGACGGACGAATATGGGTTTGGTGGATGCCAGGAGAATGCTACCTGCCCAAATGCATAGTGCCAACTGTAACGTTTGGTGGAGGAGGAATAATGGTATGGGGCTGTTTTTCATGGTTTGAGCTAGCCCCCTTAGTTTCAGTGAAGGGAAATCTCAACGATACAATGACATTCTAGACAATTCTGTGCTTCCAACTTTGTGGCAACTGTTTGGGGAAGGCCCTTTCCTGTTTCAGCATGAAAGTGCCCCCGTGCACAAAGCGAGGTCCATACAGAAATGGTTTGTCGAGATCGGTGTGGAAGAACTTGACTGGCCTGCACAGAGCCCTGACCTCGACCCCATCGAACACCTTTGGGATGAATTGGAACGCCTACTGCGAGCCAGGCCTAATCGTCCAACATCAGTGCCCAACCTCACTAATGCTCTTGTGGCTGAATGGAAGCAAGTCCCCGCAGCAATGTTCCAACATCTAGTGGAAAGCCTTCCCAGAAGAGTGGAGGCTGTTATAGCAGCAAAGGGGGGACCAACTCCATAGTAATGCCCATGATTTTGGAATGAGATGTTCGACGAGCAGATGTCCACAAACTTTTGGTCATATAGTGTAATTGATGAGGGTTGACATTGGTTATGATTTTTTATTTTTATTTTATTTAACTAGGCAAGTCGTTTAATAACAAATTCTTATTTACAATGATGGCCTACCCCGGCCAAACTCGGACAACGCTGGGCCAATTGTGTGCCGCCCTATGGGACTCCCAATCACGGCCGGATTGTGATACAGCCTGGAATCGAACCAGGGTCTGTAGTGATGCCTCTAGCACTGAGATGCAGTGCCTTAGACCACTGCGCCACTTGGGAGCCTAAATGATTAGTGATGACCGTGGATGCATTTCAATCTCACAAAATTATAGGCATGACGCAAGATAGGATTCCAAACAGATGTAAATAACAAGCGTTGTATATCCAGCAAGCTATCTAAGATTACAAGCAAACAGTGAGAAACAATAATGCAACAATTTACTGTTGTAAATCTCTAAAACTGAAGCTGGTTCTACTATTTAACCTAAGCATGCCCGAGAGACATGGCTGTAGGTATACATTTCTATGGTCGGGTCACTGTGCAAAGGTTGAGAGGTATGCCATATGTCTTTCTATTATGCTAGATATTGTTGTAAATGTAAACTCTGTCCCTGTGCACGTGTATGCATGTTCAACTAGTCTAAAGTTCAACTGTCGTTCAAACTGTACAATAGAGTATTATTTATTTATTTTAGTCTTACAGACAATACCGTGTGGTGCCTGGCCTTCTTCCTGGAGTATGCTATTCTGTCGTCAATGGATGAATGGGTGATAGAAACCGATAATGGTGCATGTGACTTCAGTTAAGTTTTGGATAGCCGCCGATTTTTAAACCAAGTACACGCTCAATGGCTTTCCATATCTGGGGATAGATTCAACCAATTTCCCTGGCAGACAAGTTGATTGCGAAGAAGACTAGCCTGCTAGGAACAGTGAACAAACAAAGGTGGGAGCTGCCCCCCTCTGCACAACACAACACAACATACCAGCGGAGCTGTACTCCACATCAGTGATAAAAGCAACACTCACGGTGTACAGATGTAAAATAAAGAAAATGTTTGCATCCTCAGCACCATGCAGCCCACTGGATCTGGCATGTGAGCTTCGTGAGCCGCCAAGCAGGCCGCTAAGGCAGCAGGTCCTGCTCTCCCTCTTCCCCAAGCACCGCAGCTCCCACTCAGAAAAAATAAGACACAATGTCAAGTCGGCAGGTGCACACGAAACAAGGCCCATGAAAACTGTGTGCAGTGTAACCGATTTTGTTTGTGGGGCTTGCTCACACAAAGCCCGAAGCTGTGTGCTGACCGTGGATCCGAAGCATAAAGAGAAGACGTGTTTAATTAATGTTTACAGTGTCCGATACCATTAACAAATGACTGTTTTTATCTTGTCATGAATATTTCTTTACGCAATTAATCCTTTACAACATGCACTGGGGCTTTTGTTTAGGAGTACAGTGAATAATTTCACCTGCGCACCTGGCTGGTTATATTATTATTATTATGATTATTATTATTATCTTTTTTGTTTCTACTTTGTCAAAATAATCTGTAACTGGACTTTATTAATTATTATAACTCTTACTAATCAAATCTATGTTTGTTTTTATCGGCTATAGGCCTTCGTCTTTCCTAGGACTTTGTAGAATTATACGAAACATATCCTTGACTCGATCTAAACAAGTAACTTGTTATTATTTTTATTTATATATTTCCATTAATATTCCTTCATGCAATTAATCCTTTACAATAGTTCATGCACTATTTATCAAGCATGTTTGCGCACCTTGCGGGTTGGTATGCATCTGATGCATATGCTAAAGGGGACGCCCGGCAATGTTCTCTAGCGGGTACTTGTATGCTGAAAGGCCAGGTGGTTCTAGTGTTAATTCACAGGAACACATCAGCAGGAGGGTTGTGCTTCCTCCTGTCACTTCTCACACTACATACAGTTGAAGTCGGAAGTTTACATACACTTAGTTTGGAGTCATTAAAACTCGTTTTTCAACCACTCCACAAATTTCTTGTTAACAAACTATAGTTTTGGCAAGTCGGTTAGGACATCTACTTTGTGCACGACATAAGTAATTTTTCCAACAATTGTTTACAGACAGATTATTTCACGTATAATTCACTGTATCACAATTCCAGTGGGTCAGAAGTTTACATACACTAAGTTGACTGTGCCTTTTTAAACAGCTTGGAAAATTCCAGAAAATGATGTCATGGCTTTAGAAGCTTCTGATAGGCCAATTGGGCGGCAGGTAGCTTAGTGGTTAAGAGCGTTGTGCCAGTAACCGAAAGGTCGCTGTTTCTAATCCCCGAGCCGACTAGCTGAAAAATCTGTCGATGTGCCCTTGAGCAAGGCACTTAACCCTAATTGCTCCTGTAAGTCGCTCTGGATAAGAGCGTCTGCTAAATGACTATAAATGTAAAAATTGGAGGTGTACCTGTGGATGTATTTCAAGGCCTTGAAAAAGAAAAGGAAAGGTATACCCTGATGAAGACAGCTTGTCTGTCGAAAATAAATTATTGCATCTGAGCTCCTAGAGTGTGCGGCTTTCCTTTTCTTTTTCAAGTGTTTTACGCCGTCAGCCAGCACCTCGCCTAAATATGTGTGCGTTTCTTTCCACTTTGTATTTCAAGGCCTACCTTCAAACTCAGTGCCTCTTTGCTTGACATCATGGGAAAATCAAAAGAAATCAGCCAAGACCTCAGAAAAAAATTTGTAGACCTCCACAAGTCTGGTTCATCGTTGGGAGCAATTTCCAAACGCCTGAAGGTACCACGTTCATCTGTACAAACAATAGTACGCAAGTATAAACACCATGGGACCACGCAGCCGTCATACCGCTCAGGAAGGAGACGAGTTCTGTCTCCTAGAGATGAACGTATTTTGGTGCAAATCAATCCCAGAACAACAGCAAAGGACCTTGTGAAGATGCTGGAGGAAACAGGTACAAAAGTATCTATATCCACAGTAAAACAAGTCCTATTTCGACATAACCTGAAAGGCCGCTCAGCAAGGAAGAAGCCACTGCTCCAAAACCGCCATAAAAAAGCCAGACTACGGTTTGCAACTGCACATGGGGACAAAGATTGTACTTTTTGGAGAAACGTCCTCTGGTCTGATGAAACAAAAATAGAACTGTTTGGCCATAATGACCATCGTTATGTTTGGAGGAAAAAGGGGAAGGCTTGCAAGCCGAAGAACACCATCCCAACCGTGAAGCACTGGGGTGGCAGCATCATGCTGTGGGGGTGCTTTGCTGCAGGAGGGACTGGTGCACTTCACAAAATAGATGGCATCATGAGGAAGGAAAATTATGTGGATATATTGAAGCAACATCTCAAGACATCAGTCAGGAAGTTAAAGCTTGGTCGCAAATGGGTCTTCCAAATAGACAATGACCCCAAGCATCCTTCCAGTTGTGGCAAAATGGCTTAAGTTGTGGCAAAATGGCTTAAGGACAACAAAGTCAAGGTATTGGAGTGGCCATCACAAAGCCCTGACCTCAATCCTATAGAAAGTTTGTGGGCAGAACTGAAAAAGTGTGTGCGAGCAAGGAGGCCTACAAACCTGACTCAGTTACTCCAGTTCTGTCAGGAGGAATGGGCCAAAATTTACCGAACTTATTGTGGGAAGCTTGTGGAAGGCTACCCGAAACGTTTGACCCAAGTTAAACAATTTAAAGGCAATGCTACCAAATACTAATTGAGTGTATGTAAACTTCTGACCCACTGGGAATGTGATGAAAGAAATAAAAGCTTAAATAAAATCATTCTCTCTACTATTATTCTGACATTTCACATTCTTAAAATAAAGTGGTGATTTTTTACTAGGATTAAATGTCAGGAATTGTGAAAAACTGAGTTTAAATGTATTTGGCTAAGGTGTATGTAAACTTCCGACTTCAACTGTAGCTAACGTTATGTTACATCTAATCGAGAATCTTTCATTTTGTTGTGAAGGAAACAATCTATGGTATCGCATCACTTCTCAGCTAGTGTCGAAATGCATTCCCCATCAGTTCAGCCTGAAAATCCCTCTGATAATCTTTGGTCATCATACGGCGCATCATTCTTGATAGCAGCAAGCCACTGGCAGCATCAGGGTAAATCTCTGGTAGGTAGAACGGTGAAAGGTAACTCATTTTCGTGCTTGTTTGTAATTAGCACAGCCAGGCACAGAACACCACATGCATTATTACAAACATTAGTGGAAAACGAACACTGTCAAAACAAATCTTGCCTACAGAAGTTCTGAGATTGCTGTGTGTTGTTCGTTCGAAGTACATAATGCAATCATCCAAGTTTGTGGGCACGCCCCATCTACCTTAGCTGGCAGTATCTGCATTCGCTATGAATGCCGGTTCACAATGAGCAGATTAATACACAGGAAGTCGAAACTTCCTGATTCTACCAGTGAAATCTAAATGTGCTAGTTCTAGCTTGTGGTTTGGATAATTGGGATGTTTATGATTAAAACGTAATGTTAATATAGTAATGACAGTATGCTGTGGCAGAGCCAGGGTGAAATTCCCTTTTAATTTGGCCAAAGAAAATGTCACCAAAATGAAACACTTGTTTCATATTTAAAGAACTGGTATAAACCTTCATAACAGTTTTGAACAGCCTATATTGCAGCAATTACCAACAAAGGTGAGTCCCTAAAGTACCCAACAAATGACAGAAATGGGCTTGTTAAGATGTATTTTACAACAGGCCTACTTACACTGAGTACTGTATACCAAACATTAGGAACACCTTCTTAATATTGAGTTGCATCTCCCCCCTTTTGCCCTCAGAACAGCCTCAATTCGTTGGGGCATGGAATCTACAAGGTGTCGAAAGCGTTCAACAGGGATGCTGGCCCATGTTGACTCCAATGCTTCCCACAGTTGTTAATAATAATAATAATAATAATAATAATATGCCATTTAGCAGACGCTTTTATCCAAAGCGACTTGCAGTCATGCGTGCATACATTTTTGTGTATGGGTGGTCCCGGGGATCGAACCCACTACCCTGGCGTTACAAGTGCCGTGCTCTACCAGTTGAGCTACAGAGGACCTGTCTCCTCCCCTTCATCTACACTGATTTGAAGTGGATTTAACAAGTGACACCAATAAGGGATCATGTTTTTAATGTTTTGTATACTCAGTGTATAACCTAAATACGGAGCACAAAATTAAAAAGACAGTTCAAACTTTAATTTAGCCAACAAAAATGTCTCAACAGAATGAATCAAAACACTTCAACGTTCTTCTCATCTTGGTCCGCTACGATATTAAAACTTGTCCACGGATTCCCATGTCGGCTTCTTTTCACTACACTCCTTCTCCTCTAACTTTAGTTTTACTTCAATGAAAAAGGTCTTAGGTCAAGTCTCCTCTCTCTTGCGCTCTCTCTCTCTTCAGCAGCAAGCGCACGTGAGGTGAACGGCCGGAACCAGTTTCAGCTGGACCTGGCCGGCCTATGCTATACGCTGACACAGATAACAAGCTCACACAGTTTTCTCATCACCTCACACATTAAATTAAGAGGATGGGTCCAGTCAGTAAATCAATTTTAATTGCACATACTGAGACCTGTGGCAATTATATCAGACACGACCCAGATCCGAGACAAAAGTGTGTGTTAACATTCTTTCTGTGTGTGCTCTCTTGTGTGTCTCTTGCTCTCTCGCTATGTATTTTTTTGTAGTTGGGGGGAGGCTGTGAGCTTGCTATGATGTGTGACATCATCTTTGCTGGAGAGAAGGCTCAGTTTGGACAGCCAGAGATCCTTTTGGGAACAATCCCAGGTACAAATAATAATAATCCCTGATCAATGTGGATTGAAAATAGTTCAGTCTGTCTGTTGGTCTGTAGATGAACTGTACTCTGTGTGTAGGTGCTGGTGGTACTCAGAGACTGACAAGGGCAGTGGGGAAATCTCTCGCCATGGAGATGGTACTGACTGGAGACAGGATCACAGCACAGGAGGCTAAACAGTCAGGTATCACACACACAAACCTCACATTATACACACAAAGGAGGGTAAACGGTCAGGTAACTCGCAGACACACACAGGAGGCTAAACAGTCAGGTAACTTGCACGTAAGCACACACACACAGGAGGCTAAACAGTCATAACACGCACAAACCTCACATACACACACTTACCATGCTCTCTCTCTCTCTTAGGTCTGGTGAGTAAGATCTGTCCAGTAGACCAATTGGTGTCAGAAGCTATTAAATGTGGGGAGAAGATCGCTGCCAACTCCAAGATCGTGTCTGCCATGGCTAAAGAGGCCGTCAACGCAGGTTAGAGAGCTGTTCTGATTTTTACATATTTGACCGTACAATGATATGTGAGATGTTTAGATATTTCATGTTTTGTGAACTTGAATCAAATATGTAAATGTTTGAAATATCTAATTCCCTAGTCTTTTATTGCTTTAGTTGTATTAATTAATGCAAGTTCTAACGTGTGTTGGTGTGTAGCCTACGAGCTGACGCTGGCTGAAGGGAATCGTCTGGAAAAGAGATTATTTCACTCGACCTTCGCCACGGTCAGTCAATCTACTGATATTCTCTTATTCAGATCAACTGTTTTCTTAGGAAGCTCCTTTTGGCATAACCTGGTCGTACATGCCACCATTTCTCAAGTGTGTGTTCTGTGTGTACTCACTGACATTGTGTTTCCTATCACAGGAGGACCGTAAGGAGGGCATGACAGCGTTTGTGGAGAAGAGAAAGGCCAATTTCAAGGACCAGTAGAGGAGCGAACACAGAACCCAATAGACCAGAATGTGAATCTCAGATCCAAGGGTTCCTGAAGGCTGTATCCTGACTTGATATCTTGGCTCATAACTCTGATGTTGGCTTAGATGAGATTTAAGTAATCTAAACTGGAGATTAGTGTAAAGATCAGACTTTGACATGTAGACCTTAAATTAGGATTTAGCCCTGAATGACACCCGGACAGTATCGTTTATATTTTAGTAATTTACCAGATGCTCTTATCCAGAGCAACTTACATGCCTTATCACTGTTTGATACCTGTATGCAGACAGTGTTGTATGCTGTATGTGTGCAGTACAGTATAGTGTGTTTGTATGTAAGATGTTTTAGGTCATCATCCACCAGAGAAAAACAAATAACTTGTTGGGAGGAAATGGTAGAGGCCAAGCGATATCAGTCACAACCACTAACACACACTAACACAGCCTTTTCACTGTCAAACTGAATCGCAATTTTCTAGAACAATTATTTTTCCTCTGTACTTTGTGCAAATAAAGCTGTAACAAGGTATGTATCTGTCCATTTGAGTTATTAAATCGGTCATATTGTAGGCATGAAGACGAATAAAGCAAAAATTCCTGAGTAAAATGCATTTTCAGTGGAGATCCATTTAGCATGCTTTTTAGTCCAGCAGTAGGTTTAATCTTGGTCCAGGAAACCAGCTCACAATGATCAGGTTTCATGTAACAATACCTTAATCTGTGTTTGGTGGTAGACAGCTGTTAGTTTGATGAAATGTCTATTGTCTACGCACCCACTGTTCTGTTAACATCTTTAAATGTGAAAATTAATTTTGTAAAACAGCAAATGTATGTTCATACAGTAATACCAATAATATAATACACTAAGCCTTCTCTATGCTGCGGGAGGGTCTACTACAATTTTGTGCCAATTTTCTTCATTTTAGGCTCAAAAGAAGCCTGTCGTCGTCTTACATTCTGTCAACTTTATAGTCTGCTGTGTTTTGTATTTTTTACCCATAATGCTCATTGACTTGACATTCCAAATTACCATTACATAAAGCCCTGAGTGATTATTTCTACCAGGGTTCACGCTATTGCGTCATGTCAATGCCATTATGACGTAATTTGGCTCCCAAGGCAAAGCCTATAAAAGCGTGGGTCCCAGACGCTCAGTGGGTATAACCATAATCATGCCCAGACACATACGATCCACTTCTCGCCCAGTCCGCAGGAGGTGTAGAGCCACTCGGACCGAGAGACGCAGTAAGAGAGTTGGCAGGAGGATTATGCCCGTTTTAGCATGGTTTTACTTTTAACCAAATTATCTTTGAGATATGGCGTTTTATTTGGAGATTGGGTTGCAGCCCTACAGAGCGTGGAAACATCGGCCATTCAGGTGATCTGTAGTAGGCCTAAATAAAGGCGACATCATTGGGTAGTAGGCCTATGTTGGAATGTTTTTTAAGACCTTCAATTTACTGTTAGATTAATCAATTAGGCCTGCACAGCTAACTATCAGAAACATTATATATCCTGCTATATAGATCTAGCAGGGTTTTGAGTTTTCACTTCTTCAGATGGTGATTAGCCCCAAGTGAATTAGCCTATGTGATATTTGAACACAACATTTACATTTTAGTCATTTAGCAGACGCTCTTATCCAGAGCGACTTACAGTTAGTGAGTGCATACATTCTTTTTTTATTTTTCATACTGGCCCCCTGTGGGAATCAAACCCACAACCCTGGCGTTGCAAACGCCATGCTCTACCAACTGAGCTACCTGCCGGCCATTCCCTCCCCTACCCTGGACGACGCTGGGCCAATTGTGCGCCGCCCTATGGGTCTCCCGGTCGCGGCCGGCTACGACAGAGCCTGGATTCGAACCAGGATCTCTAGTGGCACAGCTAGCACTGCGATGCAGTGCCTTAGACCACTGCGCCACTCGGGAGGGTGGCGCATGTAAGCACATGAATCTTTATTAAACAAAATAAATATGCAATTCTGGAGCCCTATTTGTACAATAAATTATAGCAACAATAGCCTAATTGTCAACCCAAAATTATTGCCAATCACTGGTTTAGGTGTTGTTGCACATCAAAATAGCTTTATCATGCATTCCTGCTTGGACATATTAGATGAAACAGCTTATTTCTTGAATCATACCATCTCAATAGCACTGTGAATGACATTACATTATTAGAAAGGAATGGTGCTATATAGAACCTAAAAGGGTTCTTAATCTGTCCCCATAGGAGAACCCTTTAAGGAACCCTTTTTTGGTTCCAGGTAGAACCCTTTTGGGTTCCATGTAGAACCCTTCCAGAGAGTTCTACGTCGAACTCAAAAGTGTTCTACCTGGAACCAAAAAGGGTTCTCTTATGGGGACAGCCAAATAACCCTTTTGGAACCTTTTTTTCTAAGAGTGTATAACATTATTACTAAATGTTATTATTCTATTGTGTGACGCTGTGACAACATTTTGGTGCCACCAAATTATGGGCTGGTGCCACCAACTGAAAAGGTTAGTCTGGAGCCCTCATATGCTGTTTTTAATGATAATGGCGCCGGAGAAGATGGCTGCCGTTTTACAGCCCTCTAACCAATTGTACTATTATGTGTGTTTTTCCGCGTTATTTGTAATTTATTTTGTACATAATGTTTCTGCCATCGTCTCTTATAACCAAAAAGAGCTTCTGGATATCAGGACAGCGATTACTCACCTCGTATTGGACAAATATTTTTTCTTCAACGAGGCGGCCGCAAAGGATATCCTACAGACACTCGACAAGGCCCAAATCCCCATCATTCGCATGAGGAAGAGACGGAGATATCGTGACCGTTAGCCAATCTTCAATCCTTTGAGAATAAATGGGATGACCTAAGATTACGGTTATCCTACCAACGGGACATTAAAAACTGTAATATCTTATGTTTCACCGAGTCGTGGCTGAACGACGACATTTACAACATACAGCTAGCGGGCTGTACGCTACATCGGCAGGATAGAACGGCTGACTCCGGTAAGACAAGGGGTGGCGGTCTGTGTATATTTGTAAACAACAGCTGGTGCACAAAATCTAATACTAAGGAAGTCTTGAGGTTTTGCTCGCCTGAGGTAGAGTATCTTATGATAAGCTGTAGACCACACTATTTACCAAGAGAGTTTTCATCTATATTTTTCATAGCTGTCTATTTATCACCACAAACCAATGCTGGCATTAAGATTGCACTGAATGAGCTGTATAAGGCCATAAGTCAACAGGAAAACGCTCATCCAGAGGCAGCGCTCCTAGTGGCCAGGGACTTTATTTAATGCAGGGAAACTTAAATCCGTTTTACTTAATTTCTACCAACATGTTAAATGTGCAACCAGAGGGAAAAAAAACTCTAGACCACCTTTACTCCACACACAGAGACGCATACAAAGCTCTCCCTCGCCCTCCATTTGGCAAATCTGACCATAACTCTATCCTCCTGATTCCTGCTTATAAGCAAAAAACTAAAGCAGGAAGCACCAGTGACTCAGTTAATAAAAAAGTGGTCAGATGACGCAGATGCTAAGCTACAGGACTGTTTTGCTAGCACAGACTGGAACATGTTCCGGGATTCTTCAGATAGCATTGAGGAGTACACCACATCAGTCACTGGCTTCATCAATAAGTGCATCGATGACGTCGTCCCCACAGTGACCGTACGTGCCCCAACCAGAAGCCATGGATTACAGGAAACATCCGCACTGAGCTAAAGGGTAGAGCTGCCGCTTTCAAGGAGCGGGACTCTAACCCGGACGCTTATAAGAAATCCCGCTATGCCCTCCGACGAACCATCAAACAGGCAAAGAGTCAATACAGGACTAAGATTGAATCGTACTACACCGGCTCTGACGCTCGTCGGATGTGACAGGGCTTGAAAACTATTACAGACTACAAAAGGAAGCACAGCCGCGAGCTGCCCAGTGACACAAGACTTCCAGACGAGCTAAACCACTTCTATGCTCGCTTCGAGGCAAGCAACACTGAAGCATGCATGAGAGCACCAGCTGTTCCGGATGACTATGTGATCACGCTCTCCGTAGCCGATGTGAGTAAGACTTTTAAGCAGGTCAACATTCACAAGGCCGCAGGGCCAGATGGATTACCAGGACGTGTACTCCGAGCATGTGCTGACCAACTGGCAAGTGTCTTCACTGACATTTTCAACATGTCCCTGACTGAGTCTGTAATACCAACATGTTTCAAGCAGACCACCATAGTCCCTGTGCCCAAGGACACTAAGATAACCTGCCTAAATGACTACCGACTCGTAGCACTGACGTCTGTAGCCATGAAGTGCTTTGAAAGGCTGGTCATGGCTCACATCAACACCATTATCCCAGAAACCCTAGACCCACTCCAATTTGCATACCGCCCCAACAGATCCACAGATGATGCAATCTCTATTGCACTCCACACTGCCCTTTCCCACCTGGACAAGAGGAACACCTACGTGAGAATGCTATTCATTGACTACAGCTCAGCATTCAACACCATAGTGCCCTCAAAGCTCATCACTAAGCTAAGGATCCTGGGACTAAACACCTCCCTCTGCAACTGGATCCTGGACTTCCTGACGGGCCGCCCCCAGGTGGTAAGGGTAGGTAACAACACATCTGCCACACTGATCCTCAACACAGGGGCCCCTCAGGGGTGCGTGCTCAGTCCCCTCCTGTACTCCCTGTTCACCCATGACTGCATGGCCAGGCAAGACTCCAACACCATCATTAAGTTTGCCGACTACACAACAGTGGTGGGCCTGATCACCGACAACGATGAGACAGCCTATAGGGATGAGGTCAGAGACCTGGCCGTGTGGTGCCAGGACAACAACCTCTCCCTCAACGTGACCAAGACAGAGGAGATGATTGTGGACTACAGGAAAAAAAAGAGGACTGAGCACGCCCCCATTCTCATCGACGGGGCTGTAGTGGAACAGGTTGAGAGCTTCAAGTTCCTTGGTGTCCACATCACCAACGA